CACAATAACCTGGAATAAACCTGATGTACCGGTCAACGCTGCAAGCATGCCTCCAAGTGCCGATTTTGATACCCTTGAATTCTCCCGGGCCGCAGAAGTCAACCTGAACGTGACCATTAATCTCATTCGAGATGAGACGCCCGAGCGGTTTCAGTTGAGTAGAGAGCTTGCTGCCATTCTTGACGTGGATAAAGACACACGTGCTGGCATCGTGGCTGGAATATGGGAATACGTCAAAGCGATGGGTCTGCAAGAAAATGAGGAAAAGCGCACGATTCAATGCGATGACCGTTTGAGAGCCGTAAGTTGGGATTCTTCGTAATTGTATTTAACCAAATGTAGGACACTAACAAAACCTATTTTTTATATCTTTAGATATTTGGCTGTGAGAAGATGTATTTCCCTGCCATCCCGGAAAGCACTGCAACACACACCGCCACACTTGAGCCTATTAGGCTACCATACACCATCCGTGTCGACCCAGAGTTCCAGAAGGACCCAAAGCCCACAGTCTACGATATCCGCGTCGCAATTGATGATCCGCTACGCGCCAAACTTATCTCTCTTACCAACTCCCCTGATTTTCCCGCTATGCTCCGCCATGTATCCAGCCTTGACGACCAGGTAGCTCTCGCGGTCCAGGCCTTACACCACTCAAAAGCAAAACACTCCTTTTATACCGCAATGAGCAAAGACCCAGCAAACTTCATGAAACGGTGGATAAACAGCCAGAAACGAGATTTGGAGACTGTCCTTGGGGAAACACCTCGGCCTGGACAAGGTGAGAGGGGTATGGAGTTCAGACGCGGTGGTGAAGGCAGTGCATGGGATACACCCGTTGCAAGAGAATCTGTCAGGTATATGCTCGCAAAGCCGCCCCGTGCGGCAAGATGATAGTCTTCTGGGTCATTTTTGCCTGTAGCCTTATTTTCTGCTATATCTGTTGTATGATACCTTCGCCGACCAATAAACGTAAGATGCACTCAACTTCCATCCTTGAGCTGGCAACTAAAGTTAAGTAATGTTATTAATATTTTCATTGCTCATAATAATATTGATAGTATAAAGATAAGAATTAGTTCATGTCGGCAAAGACAATAAATAAAAATAACCGGACACAGTGGGAGAGCGCATCAGCAGCGCTATGGGCATGGGGAAAAAAACAGAACAAATAAGTTTATGCACGGAAATCATCTACAGACTCGATCATTTATCATTCACCTCATGTGAGCGAGGAACACATCCAGGCCGAGGAAACGAAAGTGAAAGCTAAACCATATGGGTAGTGAAAGGAAGGATACAAACCAATCGACGCTATGATAGGATGGCAAAAGAAATTACTGCGAGATGCATTCATGAATCATGCAACCAACAAAGAGAATCCGGGATAGAGAAAAGAAAAAGAAGTAAATCAACGGTACCTATCCATCTATGCCTTCCGTCTTCGAGCGCCAGATCCGCCGTTCATTGGGGTAGACTGTGTAGTGTTGTTAGAGACCTCTGACTCAGCGTCTAAGGTCCCCGTGGTAAAGGTAGCTTCTTCCTTTTCAAGGGTGGAAGCAGCTTCAAGGATGATCGGATTTGCGTCCCCTTCAATGGATTCTGGAGGGGCAATCTTCTCTGCCGACGGCAAGTCCTCGCCTCTGAAACGCTTGAGAACTGCATCTATCATCTTTGAGAACCAGTACCAGTTAAGGGTGTTGAGAACGGTATTGCTAGCAAGGTATATAAATGCAAGCCATAGTGGAAAACCGGGGGCGGAGAAGTCCGCAAACTGAGAGACCTCTGCATTTGCCTTGATACAGCGGTCGTCTAGACACATAGATGAATTCCGAGTGCTGAACACTAAGGAGTAAAAGTCGGTACTATTAACGGGAACGGATCTATCGGATATATAGAGGGCCTTGTAGATGTCATAGAAGACATAAAAGGAGTTCCATGAGCCCCAGATGAGACGACAAGAGAAAAAGACCGAGAGAAGAGCCATTCCATTGTACCACTGGGCACGGGATCCAGTCATATTCAGTTTGTCAAAGAACCAGTGGAAGTTCAGGAATGGAGTGGAGAGCTCATAAAGGATGAAGGTTGGCGCATAGTAATTGACAAATGGCCTCTAGTTACTTTATATTAGAATCTTGGAATAGAAGAACGACCTCCATATAGATGGCGACCGCGATGTAAGGGCGGAGCAACTCACGTATCCTAAACAATACACCAACACGGCACTGATCGCGTGGAACAGCATCCCGACGCCAAACACGCTGACATGTCTGACGCTGATGATCAGATCCCACAGGAAATAGCCTGTAGCCATGGCCTGAATCAAGCCACAGGCTCCAGAATATCCATACACTCGCTCAACCGGTGTCATGTTCTTCCTCTCCTCGTCGTAAAATATCACCCACAGCGCCAAGACGGAGATGAGGGTACTTTGCGTGAGGGAGACGACATGGATATCCCAGCCGAGCTTCGTGCGCTTAGAGAAATTAGGATAAAGCTTTGGGAAGAGCCACGTCGAGAGCCTGGGTGCGACGATGGACTGGATGAACTGGTACAGGGCGAATGAGAGGATGACTTCATGTATGTGGTATGGCAGCGTCGGCAGGGACCAACTCTGTGCGATCGGCGTAACCAAATCTTGAAGCCATCGCGGGGGAAGCGGTATAGGATCCAGCATAGTTGTTGGTGATGAAGGTAGATAATTATATTAATAGCTGAAAGAGCCTGCAGCTGGGAGGTGCCGTTAATAGAGGGTCTGCCTTGCTTCCTACCGCCCCTGCAATTCACTCCCTTCCCTGTTACGGATGAGTAGAAGGCCGGGACCTGAGGTAATGTTTTATATAGGGCCAGTCAGCCAGCAAGGTCTTAGGTAAGGATATATACAGAGAGATCAGGAGGATGTGCAAGCATGAGGGATGTCGTTAAAAAAGAAAGATGACTCGCGTGCCTGACCGCGCCTCGTGTTGGACCATGCGCCCGCGCGGGCCTACTTTACTTTCCTGCCAGCCTCGGCATGACCAAATGTGGGCTTACCGCCTTGGCCCGTTGGGAGTCGCTAGTCTATTTTAGGGTTAGTCCTCACGTGAACCCCAACGCATTCGTCACTCACGTGAGTGTTAGCATGTCCGAATTAGGAATTCGAGACGACATCGCTATCTCATACACCAGCTCCGTACAATCTACTAGGGAAACTATTGCGATAATTTGAAGACAAAACATAATAAATTATAAACTCTTTCATAACAAGGAAATTGGCTTCTAACCGAACATCATTAACTACAAGAAAAAAAAGGCAAAAGAGAGAAAACAAAGAAAATACAAAGGAAAATATATCTTCCATCAAGCAAGCATCCAAGAACCGATACCTTAAAACACTCCATAACTCGCCAAGGGGTACACGCCGGGAATCAATTGTTCATCCGATAAGTAGTATTCATGTCCAACAGGATGACTCGCGATCGTTTAGTCGGTTGTCATACCGACACCGCTGTCGCTGGGCTGATGGTAGAGTACCATATCACCTTCCTTTGCCTCTACGGCATGTAAGGTGGGCTCGTCATCTTCTTCTTCATCTTCACTTCCTTCGGATTCGAGTTCGCTGGAGCTATGCTCCTCTGTGTCTGCCCTGTCAGCTACCTCAGACTGATCGTCATTGGTGCCATGGCTCAATTCGCTTGGCTCCTGCCACGACTCGCTCCCTGCTGCAACTGAACCATCAACGTTAGTAGAGCAGTAACTTGCACTACGATTTTGAGATACGGTGCTTCCTGTGATATAAGAAACGCTATCGGCATATGTACCTGTGTAGCTTGTTCTTCTCTCAGTTCCTGCATCACTTTCACCCTCGCTCATGCTCTCCTCTTCTTCGCGGAAGGATTCGTTCTCCTTGTTAGAACTAAAAAGCCGGGTATCGCATGACTGTCGTCGGTAGCCTTGGTTCGTCTTGACTGAATGACTACGCTTCAGGCTGGCTAGACCATTGTTGGAGCCACCATATGGTACAGACACCCGGTCCGAATTTCCGCGGTTGCCAGAAACATTGCTGAGACTGAGAATACGGCGCTCATGCTTTCCATTTTGCACTGTTGACCCATTCTTTCGTTTGTTGGTCCGTCGATTCAGAGCCATTCCAACACTGCTCCCAAGAATACTGCCGCCCTTGGTGGTGCTGGCCGTGCTTGGTACACGTTTTAGACTCATGCGGTCAGAGCCTGAATGACGGCTAACGAGCTGACTTCGAGCATGGTCCAAAACACCCTCTACAATTCTTCTCTCGAGGTCTTCCGCACGATCTTCCATCAAGTGGACTTCCTCCTGGCGGATACGCAAAGCAGTCTCCATTCCAGCAACCTCCTTGGCTAGTTTGATCCTGTTTCGTGAAAGCTCGCTTTCTTCTTCCCTAAGCTCCCGGATATTTTGAAGGAGTCTCTCCTTCTCCTCTTTTAGAGCAGAAACTTCGGCCTCCACGCATTCTTTTTGAGCAAGCCGTCTCTCAAGGGCAAGGGCTGCCTCCATGGCCTCCTCCTTCTTATCTTCGTAATCCTGAATGGTCTTTTTGGATTGGGATGCCATCATTTCACTAACCTCGCGGGCAGTTGCATTGAGCTGTTCTTGCAGCGCGTTTAACTTTTCCATTTGAGCAGTGGAGCTGTCTGTGTTGGAGGAATGCGAGATGATGGTATCAAGTTTTTCATGCATCAAGGTGTCGTCGTATTTTTCAAATTGGGGTTCCTTGACTTCTGGAGGAGGGGGGAGAAGGGCCGGTAGAAGGGGTGTGATGGAGTTAGGTAAAGCGCAGAGGTCCGTCTTTAAGTCTTTACTGGACTGCTGTGAATGCTCGTAATGCTGACCAACAACAGCGAGAATCTCCTTAATAGAGGAAAGGAGCTCAGGGTGTGTCTGGGAAATTTGGCTTTCAATGCGGTCGGTAGCTGCAACTGCTTTATCGAATTGAGCTTTCATATCCTCATTTTGCAGCATAACATCTTCTTGCATCTTGTCAACCTTGCCGAAGGAGTCGTCAACACGGCCAAAGAAGGTTTTGACATCTTCATGTAAGTTGTCTATCTTTCCAAAGGATTCGTCGACTCGGCCAGAGAATGCTTTCATGTCCTCATGTAGGTTATCTACCTTGCCAAAGGACTCATCAACTCGTCCAGAGAATGCTTTCACATCTTCATGCAAGTTGTCTACCTTACCAAAAGACTCGTCAGCCCGTCCAGTGAAGGCTTTTATGTCCTCATGCAAGTTGTCAACCTTGCTGAAAGACTCGTCAACTCGTCCAGAGAAGGCTTTCATATCCTCATGCAAATTGTCGACTTTGCCGAAAGACTCGTCAACACGGCCAGAGAAAGCTTTCATGTCCTCATGTAGATTATCTACCTTGCCAAACGAATCATCAACACGCCCGGTGAAGGCTTTCATGTCCTCACGTACGTTCTCGATCTTCCCGAAATTTTCATCAACTTGTCCGGTGAATGACTGTATATCTTCGTGTAGTTTATCGAACCTCTCAAAAGACTCATCAACTCTACCAAAGAAGGTTTTTGCATCGTCATTCATTTTTTCGCAGGCTTCCGTTAAGCTCTGACCCATTCCTCCAATAACCAGCTTGAGGTCTTCGGCAACGGCTTTCGTAGTCGTCATCGCTTCAAGGCCTTGGGCATCTCGCTCTTCAGCGGCCGTAAATTTGGAGTCCACAAGGAGCTGTGCGTCTTCATACTTGGTAATGATCTCTTGGAATTTCTTGTCGATCTCCGCCTCAATATCTGCTCTTAGGCCATTCCGATGCTCCTCAATTTTTTCAAGCAAAGCGGTATCTCGTTCTGTCGCTTCAACCTTCGAGGCCTCATGGTCTCCGTGGGACCGTTCGGATTCGCGTTTGACGAGCTCTGAAAGCTCCTTGATGCTATCAGCCTTCGCAAAAGATTCTGCTGAGTCATTGAGACACTCGAGAATTGTTTTCACATCACCCAGCGTGCCATCACTCTCAGTGAGCTTGGTTTTGAAGTCTTCGCGGAAATCAACAATAAAAAGCTTCGCTTCCTCAATCTTCTCCGCGAGGCCACCATGCTCCACCTTTCGTGCTTCGAACGCTTGGGCCGTGAGCTCGTTTTCAGCGTCCATCTTCTCTTTGAATTCATTGACGGTGTTAGCGAGGTTGGTGATCTCCTCCTTGGTAGGTAAGGTATTGACATCTGGTAGGACAAGTTCCTCGATCTGGGCCTTCAGTTCAAATAGCAGTGTCTCAAGGTTCTTTACATCTCCCTTCACTACCTTTTCGGGATCCTCCTCCGGCTCCTCTTTTTCAGGGTTCTGAGCGGTCTTGATATCTTCGACAGCCACCCAGACATCCTTCATAATACCCTCCAAGTTCGTAATATCCTCCTTAGTTGGGCCCTCAATGTCAATGTGAGTAGCGAAGACACTCATTGTCTCCTTAGTCTCCTTGGCCAATGTTTCCAACGCTTCGACCTTCTCGGCTGTGACCCAAGTCGCACTTGTGGAAGGGGTGATTTCATCCAACTGAGTTTTCATTCCCTGCAAGAGTGTCTGGAGAGCCTCAATCTCATCTTTGCTGGCCGAAGGCGCGCCTTCCGCTGGAGCCTCACGGGTAGCGCTGTTACTAGCGGCCACTTCGTGAACCGAGCCATGCACTTCCTTGATGGCCTCGAGGACTTTAGTGATGTCATCTTTGCTCAGAGCATCCGGGTCAATCTCTCTTTCTGGGGCCTCCCGGGCAGCATTGTTGGCGGCGACTTCGTTAACTGATCCATGTACTTCCTTTATGGCCTCGAGAACCTCGACCAAGTCGTTCTTCTTTACCATGTCTGGATCCTCTTCTCTTTCAGGAACAACCGGATTGATATCAATGCCTTCCACTTTCGTTTGAAGCTGGGTGACGAGGGCTTTTAGGCCATCAATGTCTCCCCCCAATAGAAGAATCGCTGGCGAGCATGATCTCTCCTCCTCTTGTGGTGTTTGCTTCCTCCACTTCCTTTTGGGACTCAATTAAACGATCCATACCCGCCTTGAGCCCGGCGACTTCGTCTCGAAGGCTCTCCAAGAGTTCCTTGTCAACGCTGGGCTCGATTGGCCTTTCGTGGAGTTTATCCATTTCGGCTCGCAGTTGTTCTACTCCATCATGGAAAGCATCGAGAAGTTCATTGGTGTTTGACACAATACTCTCGTTCCCATCCTTGCGTTCATTGTGCTCTTCAAACGCTGCCTGGAGGTGCTCCCTAAATGCGGACAAGAGTTCATCCTTATCAAGGGAAGATTCAGGCTTAACTATAGCCATAGAAATAGTCTGGCGTAGGTGCTCAAGCTCTTGCTTTATGGTATCGGCCAATTCTGAGTTGCTTTTCTTCAGCGATTCGCCATCACCGATCCCGCGAATTGCATTGAGTAATTCCTCCTTATCCTCGGAATTACTAGCGCTCTTCTTCAATGCATCGCTTTCGCTGATTTCTCGGATAGCATCGAGGATCTCATCCTTCTCAGAAGCGGTGTTTGATCGAATAAGTAAGCTGCTGAGAGTCTGGCGAAGATGTTCGAACTCTTTCTCCATGGCATCTAGTAATTCCACGGTATCGGAAGGGTTTCTCTCGGTAGACTCCCTAATACATTTTTCAACGTCAGATTGAAGTAAACGGAATCCATCCTTGACCGTATCAATGATTTCGTCCTTGCCAGTAGATTCCGCCGTACGATCAACGTAAGATTCAATTTGGCCACGAAGAACCTCAAAGCCATCTTTGGTTGCGTCAAGAACTTGCTCTGTGTCCCTGCCGTTCGCAGCGGAATATTCCTTGAACTCATCCTTCATTTCCAGGATCATGCCGTGCAAGTGTTCGATGAGCTGTTCACCAAGATTGCTAGTTAGAGCACCAGAGGCATCCTCAAGACTGAGTCGCAATGCCTCAAAAACATCATCGCGATTAATTTCGATTTCTCTTGGCTGCACCTCCTGGTTTGCAAGACCTTCTTGCACCGCACTCAAGATATCATCGCGTTTAATTGACTCTTGGGTCGCTAGGCCTTCCACAACAGCGCTCAACACATCGTCCCTCTTTATAGGCTCCTGAATTGCTAGAGCTTCTTGCAGTGCATCAAGAACTTCTTCCCTTTTAAGAGGTTCCGGCAGAGATGACAATCCCTCTTGGACAGCTCCGAAAACGTCGTCCTTCTTGAGTGGCTCCTGGAAAGCGAACCCTTCTTGCACTGCATTAATGACATCGTCCCGCTTAAGAGTTTCCTGGTGGGATAGGCCTTCTTGTACAGCGGCAAAGACATCATCCCGTTTGAGCGGTTCTTGGAATGCAAGGCCTTCGTGCACTGCGCTCAAGATATCGTCTCGCTTGAGAGTTTCCTGATGGGATAGGCCGTCCTGTACAGCGGCAAAGACATCATCCCGTTTGAGTGGTTCTTGGAATGCAAGGCCTTCGTGCACTGCGCTCAAGACATCATCACGCTTCAATGTCTCCTGGAACGTAAGTCCCTCCTGCACCGCACTCAGGATGTCCTCTCGTTTAAGGGAGTCCTCCCTCTCAATTATCTGTGGAGCTGGCCATTCAATGTCTTTCAGACATTCCTGAACTGCATTAACAACAGCATCACGAATGCTCGAAATGTCAGGCTCAATTCGAGGAGGATCGAAACTCTTTAGCTCAGTGTGAACGGCATCAAGGACCTGTTGATAGACCATATCCGGGTCAATTGGTTCATTTTGTGGTTGGTAGGCCTTTAGTCCTTCGGAGAGGCATTCCAATATCTCCTCCCTTTCAAGTCCGAAATTTTGAAGCTCGATTTCCGGCTTGTATGTCTCCCAAGCCTCTCTGACAGTCTCTAGAATTTCGTCTCTTTGGATACCAGGCTCATGCTCTTGAGGAGGAGGAAGTTGCGGTTGGGGGAGAGGTATTTCATGAAGAGCCCTCTTAACAACAGCATATATCTCTTGGCTGTCAGGAATTGGGCGTGCTACAGCTGTCGATGCGGAGTTTCGCGCATTCTCCTCGATAATATGGTCCATCTGTTGTCGCAGATCGACCAAGGCACCAGTGACAATCTGTTCAATTTCTTCCTTTCCAGGGCCTGAAGGCTCTTTGTCTTCAATTGATCTGGTTGTTTGGGCTTCTTCCAGTTTACGTGCGATGTCTCGACCCATGCCCAATACCTCACCACGAAGTTCGCGGACAAGTGCTTTGACTTCACTGGTTAAGCCACCACCTTCCGCAACGCTCTGCTTAACGCGCTTAAGCATAGCCATCAAGTCGTCTGCCAGTGGATTCGATAGTTGTAATGACGAATTGATGTTGGAATCCGAGCTGCTGCGCACAGGAGTTGGAGATGCGTTCGGACCCATAGGACCGGATCGAGTGCCCTGGCCAAAGTCGGGGGTTTGAGGCTTGTCACCAAAGAGTTGGTTGCCCATATCCCCTCTTGAACGGATTAATGCACGGCTTCCAGAGTTCTCCTTCACAAGATTAAGAATTTCCGAGAGCATAGTGGTCATGGCATTGTCCTTTTCGGTTGGACGGGCTTGTACATCTTCCATGAGTGTCAAGAGTTTCTCCTGGCCTTCTTTTGTAGCCATTTCACGCAACACCTTCTCTAACAGCGCGATGCTAGCAGAGCCGTCGGATATAGGGCCGGGAGAGGTTGCAAGGTCTCTCTCCAAAGCTGCTGCAAAGCTACCCGGGCTCGACATTCTAGCACCCGAAAAACTTTTGCGTGAGCTTGGAGATGATTCATGTGGCTTACTGTCACCAAGCATAAAACCTCCTGTCGCTGGGTGTATGTAAGGTGTTCCTCTAGGCGTAGTCGTGTGAGGCTCTGGATCAAGATTTTGGACGAAAGGTTGGCAGTAAATCTTTGAGACTTTTGCGGATATCTTCATCCCTAGCGTTTGTTGCAGCTTTGAGGCTGATCAAGTCGGTAGCATTGTCTTTACTTCGGCGACTTAGCTGGCTCATTTCTTGCTGTAGGGACGTAGCAATCTTGGTCAGGCTGATAATTTGAGCTGATAGAGCATCAAAACTTTCCGGCATCCTTGTAGTTTTCTCGGGTTTGCTTGGGGTTGCCTCGGCGGGCATGGCCAAATCCATTGGAATCTGCATATCCCGCAATGCCAACATCGTAGCCGACGGAGGCGTATTTTCTCCGAGAATAGGCTTGGTAAGGTACCTATTTAAAATTCGTGCCTGTGTTGGTGATTCATGGTTTGGAGTAGGGGTATCAGATGCGCCTCCTCGAGTAGGAGTGGTGTCGTTGCTCCTGTCATCTCGATCAAATACACTATTGCGTCTGTATTTGTCAGGGGAAGAGCGACGCTCAAGGTAAGCCGCAAACTCGTTGCTGTTTGTCGCGTTCTGCAATGACTGCATCCGCTTATGATATTGACCCTTTATCAAGGACTTTTCAGGGGATGGTGGCTTCAATGGCATAGGATTGACCGTATATGAACTTGGGGTGGTTTCCTGGCTTTTTTCTGCGAGTGCAGCAGCCGCAGCTTGTACCGTGGCAGACGCATTGGGTCGAGTTACCGGACTGTTAGGGCCACCTGGGTTGAGAGGTAGAGGAGGAGGAGCTCTTTTCGGGTCTGCACTGTCCCACCTGCCATTCACAATACATAGTTAGCCATCTAAATCTCTCTCTGCAAGAGTAACAGCGCCATTGAAATGTGGCAAGCTTGATGACGTACATTGGGATCAGACTCCGGGACTCTGAAGAAGTGTGATGGTGTCTGAGGACCAGCTCTCGGTCTCGATTCTCTTCTCTGTCGTTGGGTTGCATGATGGATCGTGATCACTTTAATCGTAACGTTCGTTCAAGGGAAAGGGAAACAATATAAACATAAAAAAAATATCTTGGGAATAAGTATGGCACTCAATGTACCATATCTCTTAGACCTAGACAGCTGGAAAAAGGGCAAAACAGGGTATCGTAAGCAAAGCAGAACCGTAAGTGGTGATGATGGGGTGAGATATTCGTCTGTCCAGACAAGTCGAATACTGTGCCCGAGACACCAAATGTACTCCGTATGTAGGATGATGGGAAATGAAGAAGAGGAAGAAGGCGAGACAACCTTGCACAAAAGACGGGTGGAGATGTCGCTTTTTTTCAAGGCGCCAAAGGTAGCAAAAAGCTGTTGCCGTCAACAACAAGAAAGGTAAACAAACAAGGATCCTCGCGGTTACCGGAGCGGCAGCGCTTGGCATGACAGACCGCTAAGCCCAAAGTAGAAAGCTCCGCTGGAGGTTAATCCGACGACGGATAAATATGCTGCTTTAGGACTAGCGGCGCTTCCGGTAAGCGGGCCAATCATGAGACCGCACACAACGAACAGAAACATCGCACCAAAAGTCGAACTTGTTTACGAAAAAAAAAGGACGAAGACGAAGACCGACATCACCAACTCTCTCGACAACCACTTTTTTTCTCTCGACAAGCCCACGTTCGTCGGAACTCCTGGAAAATGAAGTGTATGTTACGCTAAAGTCGTTTCTATCTGCCGCAATGCTCATCGACGAGCTTTTATCTCTCGAACAACACTGACAATGTGTGCGAAACAGTCATGAAAGTGGGCCGTGTGGCCATCATCACCAGAGGCCGATATGCCGGAAAGAAGGTACGGTGACGAGTGTTTCCTTTGCAACTTCAGTCGCGCCTATTGGACTATTGGCGCGAGGATCTTAGACAGGAATGGTGGTTTCTGGGGGATGGATTTTGCGATAGCGAGCAGTCAGGCACACGATCAAGTTTTCAACCCCCTTCAATGCACCGCCAACATCAAAGGGAGATAATATCTGCATCCGGATAGCCTGCGACGATGATTGTGCCCAGGACCGTCAAATTACCATCCAGGAAGAGGAGGATAATATTGAGCCCAGCGCAACAATCGCACAAATCATACAATAAAGTAGTCCGACTGACCAGTATTTTTCAACGATAGGTCGTCATTGTCCAGCCATACGACGCCGGCTCCAAAGCCCACCCCTTCCCTTACGCCCTCGTTGTCGGCATCGAGAGATACCCATCGAAGATCACCCGACGAATGGGCACCAAGAAGGCCGAGAAGAGGAGCAAGGTTAAGCCATTCATCAAGACCGTTAACTACAACCACCTCATGCCAACCCGTTACACTCTTGAGCTCGAGGGCCTCAAGGGTGCCGTCACCAACGATACTTTCAAGGAAGTCAGTCAGCGGGAGGAGGCCAAGAAGACCATCAAGAAGGCTTTGGAGGAGCGATACACCAGCGGAAAGAACCGATGGTTCTTCACCCCTCTAAGTATGTTTCTTGAATCCTACCGAACTTGGGCTGAAGATCAGGTATACTAACCTTAAACACTTGTAGGATTCTAAATAAAACGTTTAATGGCCCCCTTTTTGTCACTTTATCTCCCAAGCATTTTCCCTCTTCTGAGCTAGGACGGTTCTAGTTTATGATGAATGCTATTTCTCACCTCATGCATAGATACCAAGTTAAAAATGGACATCCAATGCAGAGCAGACAATCTATCAGAATGATAAGATGTCGGTTGTTTAGCAAAAAACAAAACAATAACAATGACACTTGAGAAATATTCCGATTCGTCCCGTGTCTATATCCTTTTTATACAAGTAAGAGAGAGTGAGGGAAAAAAAGAGACGTCATTATCTCATGGTAAGGTGCTACACAGTCACATGCGATGTGGTGCCACCACCGCGCGTCTAAATCGAAGAAACGGCCTGAATCATGTAGAAATATCACGAGCCGATCTTCCGTCTATGTATGTATAGGGCACGCCTACCAAATGTATAACAGAGTACACCCTCTTCACATGCCGATAGGGTAGCTGCTAAGCTATGAAGTCTCTTTCGGTCCTTAATATGGCTCCATCTCGGCTGCATCCGAGCTGATAGCTAAACTAGTCATAGCCTCAAGCCAGTATTAACAAAGCTATCTAGGTAGGGGTAGTTGACTGTACGAAGTATATACCTATCTTATCATCCAGATATGATAAAGGGAGAGCCCACGGAGAGATAATGACTTGAACCAGGATCAACAGGGCGAGACTCGAGGGAGAAGAGACAGCCAACATCCATGCTCCCACCGTTTCATGGCCCATCTTCTAGATGCGAGTCGGGAAATATAGGAGGATAAGAAGCAAGTTTGGCGCACCCAATCGGACCAGTAGACTGGCAAGTCTGCATCCCTAGACATAGCTTGATTTCTATTATTATTATTACAAGCTTCCATCGCCCTGTCCCTCGGCCACTCTCCACCCGCGAAAAGTGAGACGAGACAGGCAGGCCAGCAAATCCGTAACGGATCTGGCGGTCTAGCAGCTTGATGATAGGCGAATGCCATGTATCTATAGCCAGTAGTTACCCGTGCCCCTTCGCCGTGTTTTATCCAGTGCTTCATTCATGCACAGCAGATCCCATGCACAGGTAAACCGATGCCTGTCAGCCGCCTATCAGACATCAATAGCGTACTGTTATCAACCAACACCACAGGGCGGCCCGAGACGGGATCCCCTTAAAACTGTGTGTGATAGACTCATTCAGCTGCCATCTTGTCCCATCCGCGAGTTCCCGGACATCGCCTGATGCGAAGAAATGACGGCGAGCGGCTATGCCACGGTAATTACCTTGTGAAGCGCAGCCAGGGACCTAGTGGTTCGCCTCGTTCGGTCCTTTCAGTGGCGACCGGACATATCTCATCGTCTTTCTGTCTCTCCCTATGTTTTGTGTTTGTTTTCTATCTGTTTGATAAGATAGTTAACTTAGCCAAGTAAGGATGAAAAAACTCGCACTTTCACATGCCAGAAGTCCTTTTCTTGGCGAGAGGGCTGGGATGTTGTACTGGTACTTTTGGCTGGCGCATCTCGAAGGCGTAGATGCATGTACAGCTACCTCTGCAGCGCGACCACAGTTAAGGTACCTGGCCACTTTCACATGTGAAAGAACGCATCTAGAAGGGGCAGAAGAGGGAGCACCCTGGCGTTTCTCGCGGTTGATTCGCTGGCTTGCAAGCCTGCTGTGAAGTAGATACGTTTGTCCTGGTGAGTCGACAGTCGATGGCCAGATAAATAAAGCTCCCTCTCCCGCTTCCTAGCTTCTTCCAACATCACATCACACAGACATCACCATCATCTTTGTCCGTTCGAGCTGATATCCCACATCATCTTTTAAATCTATCATCCGCAATCTCAAGTATGTGTTGATTCATCCGTCCGTTTGTACGTGCTCCTACTAACGCACTCCTAGCTTCGCCAACTACTCCTAAAAAAATGGGTGAACAAGCAGACGCTAACGGCACCAAGCCTTCCTCCCAATTCCTCTCTGTAAGTCCATCGAATAAGTTTACATATTGATAATGAAACCCTAGCTAACATGCAGATAGCACCTTATCTCGTATCCCTTCATCGCCGACTCTCTCGAGGCTCTCAAGAAATCCTCCTACGGCCAAAAGTCTATCGAGTACGCCGACAAGAGCATCGCCCAACTCCAGCCATACTTCCCTTACTTTGCTAAGCCATACGGCTACGTGGCTCCGTATGTCGAGAAGGCAGACCACTTGGGCAACGAAGGCCTGAACCAGGTTGACAACACTTACCCAAAACTTGTCAAGGCTACTGAGGACGTCAGGGGAACCGTTCAGAGCTACTACCGCGTCGCTGAGGATGGCACCAAATACGTTCGATCTACCTACGACTCAGAGTATAAGCTTGCTCAGGGTAGCAGCCCGATAGTGTCCCAGGGCAAGGCTGCCGTCTCTACTGGGTTGATGGTCACATCTCAGTACTTGCTTTGGCTGAGCAACTTGATTATTCCACCTCAGCAGAAGGCACAGGAAAATGGCAATGGCGCTACTAAAGCTTCCAGTTAGCCTAGTACCTTTTCGATACACTTTTCGGTGCTCATTTTTTTTACACTAAGATATCCCATTAGACGGGCACAAGCTTGCTTAGTCTAAGTTTGATGACTTTGTTCTGTCCTTTTGAACTCTCTGATTTTCATGGCTGGGAAAAGTTGTTTTGCCTTCTCTTTTATTATCTTCCCTTTGTGTGTTTATATACTAAGCTACCCTCTCTTCATAATATTTCCTATCCTCCCCTCCTTCCTATCCTCCCCTCCTTCCTAACCTCCGTGAGTTATATCAAATCGAGCTACTCGTATTTCCTCATCAGATAGCAACTGCTTCTCTGTCTGTACTCTACTTATGAACTTCATGTAACTTCATTTGATTAAGGAATAGGTATATTGGCCTGCTATTTTCACAACAAATGTATACATCGCCACTTATTTTTTTTGCATGTGCGTGGCTCCACCCAAGACGCTTGGACTCTCTCCTGTTGTTGCCTATTGAGACTGTACGTACGGAATATCAAGTCATATATAGCCACGTTAGCTAAGTTCGATCTCCTAAATATATAATTATTTCTTCCTACACTTCATCTTCTAAATATTTGAGTTGAAAAGGAACACAATTCAAGCCTGAAAAAGCTGGCAGGGCTTTCCCTGGGCTCTCGCGACCCCGAGTAAAATTCATAAACTCTGCCTTGTTTTCTCGAAACAGTGGCTATGGCCAGTGGATACAGCTATCATCTGAACAGCCTCGCCTTGAAAACCTCACTGGACCCTCTTTGACAGTCTCTGAGGGAAATGATGGAATCACTGGCTTACCTAGTTCGGCTTTGCGGCTACGCTTGTTTTGAGCCGCCATTCACGTGATATCAGGCTTGGCCCAATCTTCGCCCTTGAACTTGAAGAGAAGAGGAAATTAGGGGGAAAGTGAAGCCCAGGCTGCGTCAGGACGACTTGGGACGATTGTGAATACCCACGAAGGATTTATTATTAGTCTGGGTTATATTATAGTGCCACATCAATGGAGACGGAGCGAAGGATGCATCAGTTTCCAGTCTGTCGAAATCAAGCGTCGATCGTATTGGTCTCAGCAGAGTTATACGAAATATCTCCTCTTTCGCTTGACAAAGTCATTAACATTAGCCCAAGACGTTGATGGCTGATGGCTGATGAAATGCTCAAAACATCGCCAGCTTTGGTCCTATCAGGTGGCTTCGCATTGCTTGGTCTTCCTCTCGTAGGTGAGCTTACAGGGCAGCACTCTATTGGCCCCTGTTAATTTAATCGATAGTTCCTCCCTGACCGGCTCCAACTGCTCAGCCCCGAGCTATCCTATGATCCCTTTGAAGAGCATGGTGGAGCGGAGTGAAGCGTTTTTCTCCTCACCAGGTGGAGAATCTGGTGATCCCACTGGCTGCTAGAGGAAGGTAAGACGATGAGGGGGTCATCGGGCGCTGGCGATGGAACAGAAGCTCTGCACTGCCATCGAACATGGATACGATGAGCCAGCTAATCGGCTTTTTCGTTTCCGATGTAAATGTTCTGGATAGCTTCCTGTTTAGGGGCTGTTGCTGCGGTCGATCTTATGTAAGCGCGCCAAGCCGAATTTGGGCGGATTAAAGCGGGGCGCAAGCTTAAGATAATCACGTGCATGGTTAGCTTAAGCTTCTTCGGCTTCTTACATTATCAAAGGTAACATAAAAGAGGAGAAGCTTCCCGGCTGCAACACGCTCGTTGTCATTATCAACATATCTTGCGATATACCTACTATCAAGCCATCTAAACTAAAGTCACGCAGTTCTCCAAACTACCTCTACAATGTCTGAAGCTACCACACCGCATGTGCAGACCGCGGCGAATGGCAAGGCCCCAGAGACCCAGCTTGAACAGCAACAACAAAGTGGCCCTGAAGCCTCTGGCGTTGGTTTTCGTCCTCACCATGATCTCATCAATGTTCAGCCTGCTCGGCTAGATGATTTGCAACCTAGATACGCGCAGGTACTTCTACCTGACGAAGAAAACCCTGCTGCCCATAGCTGGTACTCTGGCTTCAGTAAGTTTATAGAGGGCTAGTAATAGTATCCAGATTAATACTAACTCACTATCCAGTACACGGACTAGGCGAGATCATTGGTACCTTGGGAGCTATACCTTGCTGTTTCTGCTGCCCTAACCCCTTCACTCCTGTTAACCAGGGTCAAGTCGGATTGGTGACCAAATTTGGCCGTTTCGAGCGTGCTGTTGATCCTGGTCTTGTGAAGGTCAACCCGCTCAGCGAGAACCTGACAACCATTGATGTTAAAATCCAGATCGTTGAGGTACCGCGTCAAGTCTGCATGACCAAGGATAACGTTACTCTCCACTTGACTTCGGTCATCTATTATCAAATCGTCTCTCCTCATAAGGCCGCTTTTGGCATTACCGATATCCGTCAGGCATTGGTTGAGAGAACACAAACCACTCTTCGCCATGTCGTCGGTGCTCGTGTGTTACAGGACGTTATCGAACGTCGTGAAGAACTAGCCCAGTCTATTGGTGAAATTATCGAAGGTGTTGCTGGCGGGTGGGGTGTTCAAGTTGAATCTATGTTGATCAAAGACATCATTTTCAGCAATGAACTTCAGGAGTCTCTCTCGATGGCTGCTCAGTCCAAGAGAATTGGTGAGAGTAAGATTATTGCTGCCCGTGCGGAAGTCGAGGCTGCTAAGGTATGTTCAATTCACACATTCGTGCTTTGACAAAACAGGAGCATTAACGAACTAATTATTAAATAGCTTATGAGAGCTGCCGCCGACATTCTATCTTCCGCTCCAGCAATGCAGATCCGATACCTCGATACTATGCAGGCAATGGCTAAGAGCGTAAGTACTTTGTTTTACTCCAACACATAGTCGCTAATGGTTACTAACTGTAATAACTCTTCCAGTCAAACTCCAAGGTTATTTTCCTCCCTGCTGCCAACAACCAGGCCGCCATGCAGGCTGCGCTTGCCAATGAGACTGGAGGAAGCTCCAGTCGTCGTCAAGACAACCCCTTTGAGCAGGACGGAAATGACGGTTTCCAGACTGCCATGAACGCCCATGTCGTGGAGAATATTTGAATTACGGGGGTGAAGACACGTTAATTACGCCGTGGGAATACCTCCGAAAGTCTACCCATTTCCTTGTTTTTATGATACCCTACTGTCGTTTCCTTACCTGGGTAACAGCTACTCCTCCAATATTAATGTTCACATGATATTAATTATTATACCCTTCTTGTGTTCTGCGTTTTCCTGTGCGTGCTGTGTGTATCATAGGCCTAGTCAGCTCAAGAGGTCGTGATTGATCCTTGTTCATTTCTAATGCAAAGTATGCGTTGACTTTCGTTGTCCAGAATTACATCTATCTGCTTCGACCCTTCGACCCTTCGCATTCGTAGAATATATACATAGGTTATCAAGGGCGAAGTGCCATATCACTCAAAACTAAGTCTACTGCGTGACATCTACCATGGTATGAATAATGCTAAGATAAAATACAATGTACCATCACGGCAAGTGAAAACAACTAAGCTATCCCATCAACAATTTGTAAGTGGCTAGTTTCCGCCATCGCTTTTGCCGGCCCATGAAGTGCATGACTGAAAGTCGTGCTAGAGGGGTCCTCAAGAAGCATGTCTATATCTTCGGAATCAGGCGGGAGTCGGAAACCATTGCCTGGTCTTGGATATAAACGGTGTTCTTCTACTTCCTCCACATCGCTATTCTCACCATTACCATTGGTTGTGCTAGCGGGAACGCTTTCGGACGGCCGTTTCGATGATGGTGGAGTTGACGTTGCAGGCTGTCCTGATATTTTACGTTGTTGCGAACTCCCAGTAGACCCGTTTGGAGCGACTGAGGACGATATTGTTGAGGCAGTGGAGCTAAAAGATGATGTGTTGAGTTCATTCAGGTTTGCGGGGAATATAGGGATATCTGGTCTTGTGTCGGATATATTGACCAGTAGATTAACCAGGGCAGCATGAGATAAACTAGAAAGATAATTCTTCCTCTCTACCCGAGTAAATTGCGAGCCTCCAAGTAATGTAGGGGTTTGTGGCCCACTTGCTTGCATAGAGGGCGAGGCCGATGAGCGCAAATCGTTTTGATGGTGAATTTGTCCATTTTGTTTGAGAGTTTGGTTAAGAGACGTGTCGATGGGTCGACATTCTCCGCAAAACCACTCCTTATTCTTCACAGAGATAACGTCGTCCCCGATTGGCGGATCATGACAAAATTGATGCCAAGGTGCATTGCAATCGTCACAGAACACAATAGCATTACACCTCGGACTATGCCCTCTATCACATCGAAGGCATACCACATTAACTTCTTTGCCTTTGCGGTACACTCTTCTCCGTTTCCGTGGAGGCTGTTGATGATTTGCATCTGGACTAGCAGATTTTTTCTGGACCTGCTCGGTGGTGAACATAGTTGGCCGGTGGATCTGGCGGCCTGATTTTGTCTGTGTAGTTGTTAGCTGAGCATCAGAAGACTCATCAGAGTCCGTATCCTCCGCTTTAATGACACCCTCGTCGTCATTACGCTCGCCATATCTGCCAGATTTTCGAGAAGTTCGTGGCTTCGCACCTCCAGCTGTTCTACGGCGTCGTGGGGCTGGTTTAGAGGGACTCGCTTTTGGTGTTGACACAAGGGGTACTGTAGATCCCCCCGTGCCCGTATGATCCCCCACCGTAGCAGCTGAAGCAATGGCCGCCGTAGAGGGTGGCAGCGCGGTTGAAGGAGGCGGAGCGGGTGCGATATTTCTCCAACCCGCGAGAGGAGTTGAATATTTCAACGGGAGTTCAGGTTTAGCTGGCGTTAGATTAAACCCTTTTGAGTTAATATTTGATGTATCCCCGGTTGCGATCATCGTTGAGCTGAAGCCCTCGTGTGTAGATATTGAGGATACCGACGATAGTTCACTTGAACTGGATGCATAGGTCATAGACGGTATGGAGACATTGCTATCCAGTCCTTCCCGTGGAAATGTAACACCCTCTGCCGACATATCTAATATCTGTGTATTTTGCGCCTCATTGATCATGCCTGGATTGGTATCTGTCGTAAAACGTGCCATGGGTGGCGGGGGCATAGTAGCGAATTCGGTATTCGAACCCATGGCAGTATATTATGGGCAGGATGATATGCAGAGCCTGGTCAAACCCGATGAAGTTTCATTCAGATTACCAGAAATTATAGACCAGTTGTGCTGATATGTATTCGTGCCTTCGAGGGTAGTAGTTAACTGTGGCTCGAGGTTGGGGAATGAAAAAGGAAAAGTTTGTAACCCGTGCACTAAATAACCTGCAGCGGATGAATCACTGAGAACCAATATAAAAACAGGTCAACTGCTGAAATATGTCCCCTCTCTTGCTTAGTATAATGCATAACATGGAAATGGAGAATCCTCATGTCACTCCAAGGCAAATTTGACTTGGGAGGACAAATTGGGAGGCCAGCCCGGACTCGTGTTGTCACGTGAACGGAGAAATCTAAGGGGCAAACAGGGAGAAAGACAACAGGCAAAGGAACAGGAGTTGGGAGATCCAATAGTCCCACCCAAGTAGTAAGTTATGGGCTGTTGGTTAAGTGAGTCTAAGCTATATGTCTATATATATTGTATATTTTAAGTAGAATTTAAGCCCCCTAAAAAACCGAAAAAGGGTATAATTATATGAACAATCTAGGAAACAATCCCGTCCGCCTTCAGCTGGGCTATTTTCCCTTTGTCATAGCCCATGATATTGCTCAAAATCTCGTCAGTGTGTTGCCCAAGCGTTGGAGGCGGTGTCCGTATGCCTGGGGTGGCATGGGAATATTTGACTGGGGTATTCACGAGTTTGATAGGTCCGCAGTTCGGGTGGTCAATCTCCTGTACCATTCCTCGAGCAAGTACTAGGCATGCGTTAGAATAGCTATAAAGCATATAATTGGAGGCAACTTACCATGCGAATGGTTTAGAGCGCCCTGGATATCATTTACAGCCGCATACGGCATACCACTGCCTTCCATAACCTCCAACCATTCTTGAGTCGTCCGTTGCTCAGTAAGGTCCTCAATGAGTTTGTCGATGATCTCCCGATTCTTGACACGAAGAGCATTCGTGATAAAACGTTCGTCAGTCTTCCACTCCGGGTGACCTAGTCTGTCACAAAGGACACCAAATAGCCTGTCATTCCCTCCACCAAGAAGAATATCGCCGTCTTTCGTTTTAAAGCTTCGATAGGGAACGATCGAAGCTGCAGGCTATGTTAGCAGTTTATAAACACGAGCTAACTCTTCTTTGGATCCAACTTACGATGAGCTGTCCCCCATCGTCCAGAGTCTTTCTCCCCGCTAATAAGTGCCGAGCTTGCAAGATTTGCAAGTGTCGCTATTTGACAGTCACTCAAGCAAGCATCAATGTGTTGGCCTTTCCCAGTTCTACCACGAGCTATGAGTGCGGCCATGATTGCGTTCGACGTGTAAAGACCTGTGGTTAAGTCGGTCACGGCAACTCCAACCTTAACTGGTGGCCCATCTCTTGATCCGGTGATATGCATCAATCCCATCTCGGCCTCAACCATCACATCATAACCAGCCCGCTTGCTGTATGGTCCTGTTTGCCCATAGCCAGTGATGCTAGCGTAGATTAATCTTGGGTTTATGGCTCGGAGTGATTCATAATCCATCTTATATTTCTTCAAAGACCCGGGTATATAATTCTCCACAAACACATCGCTCTCCTTTGCAAGCTTATGGAGAATCTCGATACCGGATTCGTGCGCAAACGATAACCCAACAGACTTCTTGTTTCGGTTGACCTGCCCTGAGTTAGAAACCAAGATATTATAGCAGTGGTTCAGACACAGCTTACACCTAAGTAATAAGCACTTTCTCCTGGGCCTTCCGTGGTATCGTCTTTGTATTTGGCATACGGAGGACCCCATGCTCGTGTATCATCTCCTCGTGTGGGGTGCTCAATCTTGACCACTTCCGCCCTATTCGATTAGACAGAATATTGTTAATACGGCCTGAAATTAACATCCCGATATTAGACATCAAAACTCACCCTAAATCGCCGAGTATTTGAGTACAGTAAGGCTATATTTACACCGCTGTTAGTCCAATGTTCAGCCCAAACACGACCTGAACGTATTAGATTTTAACGTATGAAATGGAAAATGTAAGCTTCAACTCACTCCGGCGAGAACCCTAGTCATATCCAAAACTCGAATGCCGGCCAGTGGGAGCGTGTCCGCCGAAGGAGCGGCTGTCGAAAAGCGCTTGCATGTTGCTGCGAAAGCTTTGCTATTGGTGAACCTTGAGAGCTTGTTGGTCTTGACAAGGCGCCCTACAATACGGTAGGAATTCATTTTCCTCCCAAAAATTACTATATTCACAATTCTTTCATTGATGTAGCTCTTTGAGTTGATCGCTATCCAACTCGGGCTTGAATAAAGACGAGCAATTAACACTGGCGGTAAAACAAGGTGATGCGGCTGTTCAAGTGCCGAGAGTGGCAGGAAAGGTGCAAGCGCGGCCCGACTTCCGAACTGCGGCCTCGGCTCTCCGATATGCTTATATCAGCAGCTAGACACGAGGCTAAAACGTCCATTGGGCACTAATTGGATGACTAATCCAACTACATAGTTAATCAGAGTTACGCGCAGCGATGTTGTCTTGCTGAACCGCCAGACAAGCTGCTTATAATACTTGCTCAATCATGTTTACCGGTCTAGTAGAGAAGGTTGGCAGTAAGTTTCAGCTTTGTTTTCCCGTCCGTTGGCCATATACAATATTAACAGATAACGCTAAGCCGTCACGGCCCTTGATCCCCAAGATGACTCTTCCACGGGCGGGGGCGGGACATCCTTGACAATTTCGGATTGTGAAGAAATACTTACGGACACAAAGCTAGGGGATAGCATATGTGTCAATGGTTCGTTCTGTTATTGATATAAACCGTGAATGTGAAATCTACCAGAAACTAACGGCAATGCACAGGGACTTGCCTAACTGTGACAGCTTTTGATAAGTCTTCATTCAAAGTCGGGGTTGCTCCCGAGACACTACGACGAACAAACCTTGGTTCTCTCAAGGCCGGATCACCCGTCAACCTTGAAAGATCTGTGCTAGCCACGACACGGATGGGCGGTCACTTTGTCCAAGGCCATGTAGATACCACCGCGGAACTCCTCTCCGTCACACCAGATGGCAATTCTCTTGTGCTGAGAATGCAACCCAGAGACAGGAGTTTATTAAGATACGTTGTGGAGAAGGGATTCATTGCTCTTGATGGTGCGAGCTTGACGATCACTAAGGTCAAAGATGGTGAGGATGGCTGGTGGGAAGTCATGTTAATTGCTTATACACAAGAAAAGGTTGTCACCTCAAAGAAGAAGCCGGGTGACAGCATTAATGTCGAAATTGATCTGGTTGGCAAGTACGTCGAGAAGACCGTACAAGGCTACTTTGAGGGCCAGACTAGCGGGGATTCAGCCGCTCTAGAAAAGATGGTGGACCGACTTGTGGAAAAGAAGCTTCAGAGCATGGGGAAGATTTGATGACGAGCCTAAGCTAGAGGAATGGTTGTATGGGTTTTCAATACAATAAAAACGGTAGTTTCTAATTATTCCTCACCTCAGCTAGTTATTATATAGGGGGCCATGATCAGGGCTGTAATTCCCGCAGTAGTGAGAGATTCAACCCACTTTGTAATCCAGGGGAAAATAACAAATGTCCAACATAGTGTTGATCATTACGCATGCTGGAATTCTGTCACTTTTGAAAACATGCCAATAATATGTACAAAGGGGTATCCTCGGCAATAGATAAATGAGAGTATGCAAGTCTTTCAACACAATAGCGCCGCTTAAGCTTCCTCTTCCTCTGCTTCACCCATCTCCTCGTCCTCATCCTCTTCCTCGTGGATGAAATCATCGCTGTCCCAATTATCTTCATCAACTTCATCAGAATCATCTTCATTATCTTCGCCCTCGCGCGGTGCCTTTGCCTTCAGGGCTTTCTTTCTTTCAACATTTTCCTTCTGTATCTTCCTCCTGAGCTCCTTTTCTTTGCGTTTCTTCTCCCAAGATGCATCCAGTTTCTGGGCCTCTTCCTTGGACTTGGTCACATAATCATGCCACATAACTCTTCCACCGCAGAGTCCCTCCTCCACCTTCATCAGCTTCAATTTCATGCGAGGTCCGAGTTCAACTAACTTCACTGCTCTTTTCTCAACATTTGATCCGGAGCCGCGAGCTGATTTGGACCCAGCTTCTTTGGCTCGCTGAAGCTCCTTTTTGTTCAACACTTTTCTAGTCGCGGATTCTAATACCTCTACCTCCGCATCTGTTTCAATTTCTGTCTCGCTTGCGGACGTAAAACCAGCATCACCACCGGCACTCAGCAAATAATCTGCAACATCATTCAATTTGCCCAGGTTTGGAACGGTTTTGTCCTTCTCTTTACCGCGAAATTCCTTCGGGTTAAGTCGTCTTATTCTCTTTGATAAGTCGATTCGTTTTGTTGTGATCGCATAATGTCGTAGATTCACCGTAAAAGATTCGTCTTCTCCTGTCTTTGATGATAAGTCTCTGTCGAGCAACATGATACGACGAATTGAGGCAAGGGGTGTTGTTTGAGGCGAAATTGGAGGGAAGAGGGACTGGAAAACTGTGGTGACCAGGGACTCTAAATGCTTTGGAATCTTTTCCGAGGCTTCCCCCTCTTTTGAAGACATAAAATTGTTCATAACCAAGAGCGGAGGAGTTGTGTGGCTCTTTCCCAAGCCTCTCGGACGCTTCAATGCCTTTATAACATCTTTGCACAGAGAGTAATTCTCAATCCTGAAATTTAGCGTGGGGCCGCGGGGTGTGAGAGCAATCCGAAGATTTGAATTTCCATTGCTTGATTTAGAAAATAATAGTAAATGAGTAACTCCTAGAGGGCCGGTCATAACGGTGTAATCTTTTAGTTTGTTTTTCGTTCGCTCCTACCGAAGCTATTAGCACACTAGAGTAAAAAATACTTCTTGAAAAAAGAATGGACATACCTTCAAACGGCTTGCGGTGTCTGGCTCCATCATTGATCGGACATCCTTTGCCAATTGACTCATACTAGAACCAATTTGCCCTGCGCCAATTCGAATTACCATGCTCTTGGGGGACCTGTTCATTGAAGCAGCTCCATTCTTAGTACTCGGAGCTTGAGCCTTCCCCGGAGGGACATGGGTCCGCTTCTTAACACGTCTTTTTGCCATATTTTAGAAAATTTTCCCTGAAGCTAAAGCCACAACAAAGTTACCAAATCGATCTGAATACTTGGAGATCGAAATGCATTCTTTATTTGAACTTTTTTTATCTTGATATCGGATCATTTATTTGGCGAACTCCGAAAGTCAAAAAAATATTTCTGGAAACCTTATTTTTTTTATCTGATAGAAAATCAAACACAGAAGCGTAAATATTTTAAATATCTCGATTTATTTGGTAATACCTAAGAGACAATTGCAAAGATGTCGTCAGTAAAGAATGTTAAACGACGGAAGCTATCCCATACGTCCTCAAAGCCCGCCCCGGATGATGCGTCTTCAGGCTCAGAGCTCGAACAGGAAGCTCTAGAAGAGGGCAGCGACGAAACAGCAGACACAAAAGTGCCCAAGACCTTCAAGGACTTGGGGATAATCGACTCATTATGTGACGCTTGTACGTCGCTAGGATATAAAGCCCCAACTCCGATTCAAGCTGAATCTATACCTTTGGCACTACAGGGGAGAGATTTGGTGGGGTTGGCTGAGACGGGAAGTGGAAAGACTGCGGCTTTCGCATTGCCGATTCTCCAAGGTAGGCAAACTTCGTTGTAGAATTGATTTATACTACACAAAGCTGCAGCAGGCTAACCAAGTATCCTTTCTACCGTTGACAGCTCTTATGGAAAAGCCACAACCTTATTTTGGGCTTGTTCTAGCACCCACTCGTGAATTGGCGGTACAGATATCAGAATCATTCGAAGCCTTGGGATCTCTTATTTCTGTCAGATGCGCCGTCATAGTGGGAGGAATGGATATGATATCACAATCAATATCTCTCGGGAAAAAGCCGCATATTATCGTTGCGACGCCTGGAAGACTCCTTGACCACCTGGAGAATACCAAAGGGTTCTCGCTGCGCAATTTGAAGTACCTAGTAATGGACGAAGCGGATCGACTACTCGACTTGGATTTTGGCCCTGTTTTGGATAAGATATTAAAAGTACTTCCACGCGAACGTCGAACGTACCTGTTCTCCGCTACCCTGAGCTCCAAAGTCGAGTCTTTGCAGCGCGCCTCGCTTTCAAACCCCCTTCGAGTTTCTATATCTTCCAACAAGTACCAAACAGTCTCAACACTTCTGCAATCATACATCTTTATCCCTCACAAGTACAAGGACATCTACCTTGTGCACATACTAAACGAATTCCCTGGGCAAACTACCATAATTTTCACTCGAACCGTCAACGAAACACAACGTCTTTCCATCCTCCTGCGTGCACTGGGATTCGGCGCCATCCCTCTTCACGGTCAATTATCCCAGTCAGCTCGTCTTGGAGCCCTCGGCAAATTCAGGTCTGGAAGCCGAGATATCCTGGTAGCTACTGATGTTGCAGCGCGAGGCCTTGATATTCCCGCTGTCGACCTGGTGTTGAATTTTGATCTACCTTCTGACAGCAAGACATACATTCATCGTGTTGGTCGTACCGCTCGTGCAGGCAAGAGTGGACGAGCAATTAGCGTCGTGACGCAATACGAAGTCGAGATATGGCAGCGAATCGAAGCTGCGTTGGGCAAGCAACTGCCGGAGCACAAGACGGAGAAGGAGGAAGTGATGGTGTTGAGTGATAGGGTAGGGGATGCCCAGCGACTGGCAGTGACGGAGATGAAAGATCTCCATGAGAAACGAGGGACGAAGGGTGCGACGCTTCGGGGCCGCCGAAAAGGGGATTCCAAGAGGGGGAGAGATGACATGGATCGAGAGGAGAAATGACCAATAAGATTAAATGCTTCTTTTCATGTTGCAACTTCTACACCTTTGCATGGTAAGTCGTATTTTTCGCGGTCTTATGGGGTCATTCAATATACATTTGAAATGAATATAGTATGTTTGTGAAGTCATAACAGCTCTTTGATGTAAATCTGTATCAATATAAATGTTTTTCTAGGAAAGAGAAAAAGAAGAAGGCCAGAATACCCAGCCCAGGCTTTGCCCGGCAGGGAATAGCAAAACAAAGACCGGTTTAGAAGGCCTTTTTTACTTCCGGACAAGAGCCAATCCCTATACCCACGGAAGCCAAGTTGGCAACCATATTGGGAACAGGAGGTTAGATAGCTAAGGAGCCGAACGTTGTTCCATCAACAAGCATTAGAATGACAAAAACTAAAAGAAATGTATTCTTCTTGTCTTGTCAAAAACTCAGCAAAGCCGTATCAATAAATATTGTATAATTTTATATTATCCTTTTTGGGGGGTAGGAGGGGAAAACATCTTATGAAATAAAAGGTCGTGATTACAAACCGTACTTAGCATTCTTCAGGCACTTAAAGAAAGCAAATGATTACTGCCCGGCAGCGGCTTTGCCAGCTTCCAGGACAACAGCAGCAACCCTGTTAGCGAGATCATCAGTCTCTGACCGAGTAGCTGCTTCAGCATATACGCGAACTGCGTCCTCTGTTCCACTGGCACGAGCAAAGCTTCTACCCTTATTGTAACGGGATTGGAGATCATCAATACGCTGTTGGATACCGGCAGGGGATTGAAGTTTCCGTTCAGCATCGTAGGTCTTGAAGATAGAACGGTCTGGGACCTCGATTCTAACCAACTTGTTGGGTAGATCGGTGTAGGTTGCGACCCATTCCTTCAGGGTCCAGCCCTTGTGGGCAAGGATGACTTCGACCAAAAGCATGTCTGATAGAGCATCTCCAACCGCCTGGTTAATGAGATCAGTCAAAGCAACAAGACTCTCCAAGGCGTATTTCTGGGCCGGAGACTGAGGCTCGGCGGTCTTGATGGTCTTGAGGGCATTTTCAGAGAAGGTGATAGTTCCGTGGCCGTTGGCTTCGAAGTAGACACCGACATCGAATCTCATGGCAGCGTGATGGAGATGTTTGACACCAGTGGGTGTGCAGACGACCGGGAGCTTAAGGACCTTTTCAATGTACTCGGTACTAGAACCGTTGGCGTAGGCGGTTTGGACTACGCCAATCTTGATCTTGTTGGCGACTCCAGCGTTCTTTGCAAGCTCACCAATGAAGGAAGCAGCAAGAGTAGCGATACGGTCACCGTCAAGGAGCCTGAAGACACCACTGGCATCCATATAATAGTACACTAATCGGTCAGCATCACCGTCCAGTGAGGCACATCTGTCTTGTGCGACGGCCTTGGATGAAGGTGGAGCACGTTGCTTCGTTTTCACGTAGTCGGCTCCGCACTAATTTCACCTGCGTTAATAATTGTTTACTCACATCATGTGTAAAGGGGCTATATCGTGAATACCTCGAAATTCAGTCTGTCAGGGTTGATCACGTCATCGTTGATAACATTGATATCCAATCCACCATCCTTAGCGGAGGGCAGAAACTTGACAAGCTCATCAAGCTTCGGGCCACCAACACCATTGGCGCAGTCAACAGTGACGGAACCGGTGGTGGTGCGTCCGTTCATAACCTTCTTGAATGCTGCGCTGAGCTTCTCGTAGTAACCCTTCTCGGTGGGTTCTCCATACTCGTAGGGAGTTCCCAGGGTGTTCTTGCAACGAACGATGTAGTGTAGTTGAGGAGTAGTCATGTACTTAAAATCAGTCGCCTCGACTTCTGAGGCAGTCATAGCTGCACTGAGAGCAGTAGCAAGTCTAGCTCCAGAAGCCCGGGTATCCCTGGCAAAGACAACACGCGCAGGGTTGTCCATTTTAATTTCGATCTCGTCAACGAGTTTCGCATATTCCTCTCCAAGGGTTTCTAGAGGGGCGTTTGCCAATCTGGTAGCAAAGACCTCCCATTCTGCCTGATAAAAAAGGGAGATAAGTCAATAGTTCCCCCCTCTGGGTTTCAGGGATTCTCCTACCTCCAACATCTCGCCCTATTGATAGTCGCTTGTATTAGCCGCTGCTGGTCGTGGTGGATAGCTGAACCACACGTACCATTGGATCAACCAGCTTAACTCCATTGTCTTCAGCCGGGTTATGGCTGGCTGTAATCATCACACCAATATATTGTCCGTTGAGCTTCCTCGAGCGTAGACCAGCCAATAGTCCCATGGCAAAAACGACGGTGTTGAGGAGCTCTCTAGTGACAACCATCCGTTAGACTCCAGGATGTACGGCGTAGGATAGTGTACTCTCTGCCCCTTACGATTTCATACGGAACTACATTCAGAGCAGAACAGCTTGAATTAGCCCAAAGAAACGCTTTTATTTCCTGATGTATATACGGTAACTTCATGGACATGGGGGCCTGCGAGACTTACTCCAGCGGTTCCATATTCGAAGACCTTCCCTTCAGGTTTGGTGTAGGCCGAGGCGGCCTTGTTGATGGCCTGCTGAAGCTCTGTGGAAGCCATTGACGGTGTCTTCTTCTATCTTCTGCAGCAAGTCGAGTAAGCGAGTGAGTGTGGTTGTCTGTTGCTGTCTGATCCGAGCTTGCTTCCTCGTCTATTTATCTCTCGGCGGGGAGAAAAAGCGAGGGGGAAAAGAAGAGGAAAATCAGCTGAGCGTGGGGAGTGTTTGCGCTGTTTGCATCATTGGCCGCAGTAGCACAAAAGCTTCACATGTTGCAGGTCGAGCTGCAATTGGAGACAGCAAAGTACGGGATGCATGCAGATAGGGATTAATACAGTTATGGCTTGTGCCAGTGGCTGTGGACAGCCCAACGTTGAGTGGGCGGGCCGTCTATCAGGTGGATTTTTATGTCTCAGCCGTTTGCTAGAGGGAGATAGAAAGATGTATAGCTGTAGGTAGATACGTAGAGTAGATGATGTATTGATATCTCTGGTAGATTATATCTATATAGATGATATTAAGCGCGCAGGCGTTCCCCGGCCATGTCAAACTCTGCGTCCCGGATAAGAAAGCTGTACGAAAAGGCCACTATAGTCAGTAAAAAGAGGAAGATAAGGAAAGATAAGGAGAAATAACCGGGGGGGAGGGGGGGGAGGATAAGGGGAACGTACGCATACCACCATATGGCGGGGATAACTGTGCCTAAATGCCATAAGCTGTGGGCATCGATTAGCCCGCCAATCGGAGGGAAGTCCAGGAGCTCAAGGCTCATAGCCAAAATCACCCATCCAACGATCATACTTGGCCATGCCGTCCAAGACTTCGTGTATCGTTTATATTGCTTGAAGCTAAAGGCAGTCCACATCAAATTCTGGATGATTCCCACAGCGACGTTGGCAGCCATATTGTACGTGTAGTCCCAGGACCAAAAGCTGAGGTACGAGACGTGCATGGTATACAGTATCGCGCAAAAGAGCGTCCATCCTCGTAAAAGCGACGGCTTGTAGTGTGGCCGGAGCTTGTCCAGGCGAAATATCCTTACGACAGCCAGATATAAACCGTACAACACGCTAGCCCCTGCCGCGAAATAGTCAAGTTTTTCTGTTAGGGGAAAGTCCCTCGTGTGGAAAATCATGCTGAACGTCCAGCTTGCCAGCCCAATGTAGCCGAACCAGATGTAGTATTTTCGTAGCGGGTAAGTCTGAGGAATGCGTTTTTTCACCTGTTGTATACCGCGGTAGTGGGCGAGGTAGTTGAAAAGGGAGAACAGGGTCGAGAAGAGTTCCTGAATGCCCATGACTCGGTGGAACGGCCATTTTCCGTGATATTGGACAATAGGTTCAAGCATTGGAGGATCTCTGGCCAGCCGCTGGTCGGTTACAACATGTTGACAGGAGTAATCGCAGTTTGAAGGGCAGTCCCAGAGCAGGAGCCGAAGATGTATCGCTGCTCAAGCTTGATCCGTTAGCATCCAGGAAATCGAGAAACAGAGAGGCCGGGCGATATCTTACGGAGAGAAGTCTGCCCTGTCTCGCAGTGCTCTTTCTTGCAGCTCTATCTCATTCAAAACAACAGGTCAGCCATAGCGTTTCTCGTCTCAAGCCTTGAAGCTGACAGGAATAGCTTCTACCTCGAGGCAGTCCTTAAATTCCGGCAGTCTGTCACCAAGCGATGCCAGGGAGGTATCGGCTAGGGCTATCCAGACGCAGAGAACCAGAATCCATCGAGAGAAGGGTATCCCGCTGGGTTTCATTGTTGACGCTGAGGGTAGGGAGGCTCTCGCACTTGTTGATAGTCAGAAGGTGATCCTCCTTGGCAGCAAACTGGGTAGCTACGTAACTTCTTATCAGCTAGCGAGCTAAGAAAGCCCCTTTTTTGGGAGCCGCTGCAGAGTTATCCAGACCAGGCAGAACCGATCAACACAAGAAACAGCTAGCTTGATAGGTTACTCCCCTCAAGAAATGCAGGAGTTGTGGAATACTAAAGGCAATGTACTCTGTACTCCGTAGTAACATACATTTGCAAGCCCAGTTACTTGTCAAAAGTAAACCAAAATATCCCTAGCTACCACTATCACGAACCGTTTAGGTACTCAGATTAGCTACGGCTCTAGTGCCTTCTTGTAGATTCTAATATGGGCGAAGATGATAAAACCCACTCTCGCTCGAACATTTACTACGGGAATTCCAGAAATATTGGCTTCATTACTTGAGGTCGTCTCTAGCATGCTCAATGTAGGCCATCGGGGACTCAAAATTATCATCATTATATTCCCAGCCCGCGTCGTGTTCGGGGGTCCTTAGAGTCGCGTAGACGAAACCGGGTAGAGTAATACTCGGGAGAATGGATCCAGCGCATACGGCTTTCCTTACTGGAGACATATTCCTTCCATAGCTCCAGTCGAGAGACAGGCCGACAAAGAGTGGACGTGGAATCAGCCGTTAATGAATTATCCCCAAAACGTTTCATCATATTCTTCCGCCAATCTGTGTCAGTATTACCATCCAGCTCAAGATGTTCTATTCCCCATTCTTCAGTAAGGTCCATGCCATCAACTAAGGCTGCCAAATCTATCTTATTCATTGTATCAACAAGGCTCTGCGCGTAAATATGAAGCTTTGGGTAGGGCAGTCGGCCTATGAAACTTAGTATGTGGTGTACCACGACGGAACGTGGAGCCTAACCTTGGCTCCATTCGATGTTGTCAGGCTCGCATGCAATGTGGCAGTAGCTTGCCGGTAATATCAACCAAAAATCTGTTCGACCGATGGCTTTAAATCGAGAGTATTTGTGATCAAGAGATCCCCGACGGCGGAGTGGGAACGGAGCGCATGGCTCTAGTGTATGACAGTTGGATGTGAAGATCTCAACGGCCTTTTCTAACTGAGAGTCTGGGACGCAGAGCACTCGGTCCTAATATAAATAAAATCAGTGCCTGCGCCTGTAGCCTATATAAAAATGGTACAGTACACGCGCATTCGGACGGGCTCCGTAGTAGATAAGAGCATAGTCATGGACAAAGCAGCAGCAGATGTTTGCATCCTGCAAAGTAGTGACAATTGCCGTAACTTGTTCATGAGACGGGTCTACATCACCCGGATTCCCAATTGCAAGAGTATGGGACGTATTTTCCATTGCTTGACAAAAGACGTTGCAGCAGCTCTGGTGTGATCGAGCTCAAAAAGGAAGTTCCCTTTCACGCGACGCGTGTTCTTATCGATAGGAAAATTAGTCATCTTTGATCACATGATATTTAACTTTGAGATAATGCAAACGCTGCAAACTTTGAAAATCTCCCGTCCTATTTTTTTTTTTTTTTTTTGGAGAAAGAAACCAAAAAAAAGTCTTTGGTAGAAGAAAGATAAAGGCTCAAATTTTCAACCCGTGGGATTAATCTCTGCATTTTATCCTTTCATTACAGACGAGTTCATACTCGAGGCCGTTTCCTGCTCCAAGGAATCTTGTTGGGGTCGCTCTTTCATACTGTTCGTTTGGTAGATATATTCCCCTCTTTGATAGCAACCATGGATACTTCGGCAGATAATGCTGGCTTCTCTGCCTCCAGTGCGGAGAGAATGGTTGGAATGGACCATGCTGAGGTTCGCTACTTCACGAGGTATGCCTTTTTTTAATTCTATATCTAGGGTTATCGCTGACTAGACCATAGTTATGATCATTATGGTAATAAATACCCCACCAATAGTTGGCACGAAGTGAGGAATTGGTAAACATAGCTAACAGTGGTGATATATTGAAGGAATCCACGAAGAGATGCTTGTGAGTTAGAACAAGAAGTAAAATGCATGGGGCGAATGCATACTAATATGTGACTGCTATAGAAAGATGAAGTGAGAACTCGCTCATATCGTGATGCTATCTACAACAGCAAACACCTTTTCAAGGATAAAGTGGTTTTGGATGTTGGATGTGGCACCGGTATTCTCAGCATGTATGTGCCATCTTTTATCTTCTCTTACCAATCTAATACTAATGAGAATGCGTGAATAGGTTTGCTGTCAAGGCTGGCGCAAAGCATGTTATCGGTGTCGACATGTCTTCCATCATTGGAAAGGCCCGCGAGATCGTCGAGGCAAACGGAATGTCTGATAAGATTACCCTTCTCCAGGGCAAGATGGAGGAGGTAGAGCTCCCTTTCCCCAAGGTTGATATTATCATTTCTGAGTGGATGGGTTATTTCCTTCTCTACGAGTCCATGTTGGACACTGTTCTTTATGCCAGAGACAACTACCTCAACCCCAATGGCCTGATCTTCCCCGACAAGGCCACCATCTATCTTGGTGCCATTGAGGACGGTGACTACAAGGAAGAGAAGATCGGATGTATGTTTCTCTCATTTTTTTTTTACTTTTTTTTACTATTTTGCACTCTTTCAAAGCACTAACCCCATTCACTAGTCTGGGATAACGTTTATGGTTTCGACTATTCTGCCATGAAGGATGTTGCCCTCACCGAGCCCCTTGTTGATACTGTTGAGCTTAAAGCTCTGGTCAGCGACCCCTGCGCTATCATTACTCTCGACCTGTACACCGTCACCACCGCGGATCTCTCGTTCAAAGTTCCTTTCACCCTTACCGCAAGACGTGACGACTATATCCACGCCCTGATCGCCTGGTTCGATATCGACTTCACCGCCTGCCACAAGCCTGTCCACTTCTCAACGGGCCCACATGCCAAGTACACCCACTGGAAGCAGACCGTCTTTTATCTCCGTGACGTCCTCACCATCCGTGCCCAGGAATCAGTTACTGGATTTTTGGAAAATAGACCAAACCAGAAGAACAAGCGTGATCTCGACATTACCATAGGATTCGAGTTTGATGCCAAGGACGAGACTCGTAACTCACAGGGTCTCTGCCAGTACAGAATGTGCTGAAAAGAAGAAATTCTGCGATGCTCGCATTAATTTTTCGTTATTTCATATGATAAAATCGATTTGGATCTGCATGGGACTCCTTTCACGCTTTCATTCGCAACAAAACGTATGAGTCGAGGAAAAGTGTCAACTAGCAAGATGGCAATGGCGTTGGGAAATTATTTGGCATGTTATGAAGTGAATGGTCTATAAAAGGAGAGATGATGATATAAACGGCGATTTTATAAAGCTCCTCGATTTGCAATTGATACCCTCGAGTAGATGCTTAGTCTAACCGGTTTGTTTAGTTTAATGGCATGCATTTTTTTTTTCAATAAACCTTTCGTCTTCAAAGATAACCATCCATAAATCGCCTAACCAAATTCCTGTAACTAGCTCTGCTGACTAACCCGGTTATTTCGTACAGCGAAGCCTCGGTCCAAAGCGACCTCAACTCGGCCAAACAGAGCTTCCCCCGCAAAGAAGGTGTCTTTACACCACATCCAAGGATTTCATATATACATTTTGCAATATATATATTATCTATATTTTATTTCTCAAGAAGAAATCCCCAAATAACCAACAAGGAAACTAAATCGCAAAGATGAGCGGACCAGGAGCCGGCCACCAATTCCCCAGCGAGGACGTGAGTTGGCTGAAGAGAGATCTCCTTCTCTTTGCCAACAGCATTGGATGCACCGCTGAAGAGCTTCATTTCCTTTATGTATGTAAAATGCTATTAAGCCGTTCACACTATCAATGCGAGTATCGGGAGCTAACTGGTTATTCTAGGAGCTACATCCAAATTTTGCAGCTTTCCCAACATATCCTATCATTTTACGTGTGTTACCTATCTCCCAAATTATTTTCTTCATATACTTGACCAATATGTTCTAACAATCTATATAGCATTTAAATGCACCTCGCAAGAGGTCATTGATTTCTACTCAAGCAAAGCTAGTAGAGACATCCCAGGCGTGCCTCCTCTTGATCCCAAACGTACTGTCGATGGCCAGAGGAAAATGTTTTTCTACAAACCCTTGCCAGTCACTAGTGAGGGTCGCAAGTTCGAGCTACAATCTAAAGTCATCGGCGTATACGATAAGGGAAAGGTCGGCACCGTTGTCGAAGTGGAACATTTAATTGTCGATAAGGAGACAAGGGAAGTATACACAAAGGTGGTCGGAAGTGCATTTTATATCGGCCAGGGCAATTGGGGTGGCCCAAAAGGTTAGCTTTGTCTCATACATTACCAAGAGCAGGTCTAGATGCTAATAACAAACTGTAGGCCCTGCGAGTGTGAACTTCTCTCCGCCTCAGGGGAAGGCTCCTGATGCAGTCCATGGGTATCAGACCACCGAAAATACCGCTATGCTCTATCGGTAAACATTCTATTAACCCCTTGTCCTACCTCTATATCTAACGTAGAAGTTTTCAGACTCAATGGGGACTATAACCCGCTTCATGCTGATCCTGTGCCAGGGAAGAAGATGGGCTTTGGTGGTGTTATAATCCACGGCCTCTTCAGTTGGAACATGGCAGCCCATGCAGTTCTTGAGAAACTAGGCGGCAGCGACCCCAAGAACATGAAAGAATTTCAGGCCCGTTTCGCCTCTCCGGTTCGACCTGGCGATAAGCTTACTACTCAGATGTGGAAGACAGGTAAAATAGAGGACGGATTTGAAGAAGTTATCTTCAATACCAAGAATGGTCAAGGGAAAGTCGTCTTGAGCAATGGCCGTGCTCTCGTAAAAGTCGTTGGGGCTAAGAGCAAACTGTAGATATGACTGCGGGAGATGAGGGCCTTTGGGAATTAGTGATCATTAACTATGTATGTACGCATCGGGGCCTGGACGAGATTAAAATCTCCAAAACTTATTAGCCGCCTAAGGATGCAGGATACAACGTTGGTTAGGTATTATTTCGGTTTTTAAAGAGGGAGACACCTTCTTGAGCACATGAACATGTGATGTATGGATAGTGAGATACCGAGGATTATTATTAGCTTGAATGTAGCAAATATAACGCCTTCGGTTCTCATAGAGTATGGGCAGCCATTATTTATGAAGCCCCTGGAAACTGCGTTAAAACATAGTTTACCATCGGGAGCCTTCGATGAGCCGTAGTTATTTAAAGGAACCCCACTCTCTAAATTTAACAGCTGACAACTCTTTCTTACTTCATCTTGACGTCAACAATCTTGTACAGCATGAAAACCATGAACGCCTTTCAGCTTATTCGAGCTGCAGGCATTGCGCAGTAAGCTTTAATACTCCTCAAGTTTCAACTCCTATATACATAGCCCAATATTTACGTATTTTTTAGGCCGAGGAAGTGTGCCCGCTTGTTAACAACAACTGCACTGGTTGGTCTTCACCAACAAAACGCCCAAAGCTCCAGAATGCCAGGGAGAGAGTTTTAACAGAGGCAAGAACAGCAACCAGTTAATAGATCAGCGTTACAAATATACCGTAGAGAAGCTAGATGCTTTTCGTTACCAGCGCAGGCTAGGGTATCATCTGAAAGGACGCAAACCAATGCCTCGGCAATTGTGCCTTCAGTATCTCTCCCTATTCCCGGCCTCAAAGGGCACAAATGGTAATTTTACGCCGCTACTTTTAGCTTGAGACGCACACTGACAGACGTAGGTCCAATTTTTGGTTGAGGGATAACTGTCAATGTCGTGAGTGTGTCCATCCGGAAACCAGACAACGTCTCCTGGATACATTTTCTGTAGGCTGAGTCTACCTCCCATATACTTCCGAATCGAAGGCTGATAAGTAGGTTAATAGTTGCCAGAGGATGGTAAACCAGCAGCAATAAAGAGGTTGGGAAACGGGCTTGAAATAGAATGTATGTATAGAACCGCACATCAATCTGCAGCGATGTATACGTTCTGACATTGGAAAAGGGGCGGCGGATGGCCACAAAAGTACCTACACTTATGAATGGCTAAAAAACCATGCATCTCAGGATGCTGCCCCCGCAAAGGGGCCCTTCCTAAGGTGTGTAAACCCGCTGTTTTTCTTTTGGTTTCCGGTCTAATGAAATACCTAGAAATGACCTTGGTTATGTTGAAACCACATCAAAATCGCTCCCAACTGTGGATTATGAGGAAGTGATGTCGTCTGATGAAGGTGTGCGAAAATGGACAAGCAAAGTAGTACGTTCTTGAATCTATCCTTAGCATTCAACGTGGCATGGGCTTACGGTTCACTTTCGTTAGTATCGATTCGGTTTTAGTTTCGTAAAGGGAAGCCCGGCTACGCCTGAAGCGACCGAACGGTTATTAGAGAGGCTGGCTTTCATCAGACCTACACATTACGGTAGGCATAGAGCCATGGACCATCAAGGAAAATGATCTACTAACACATGTGAGTAGGGGGCTTCTGGGATTTCACGTCTGACCTTTCAATGAAAGATACAGCATACACATCACAACATCTTAATGCTCACACAGACACAACTTACTTTACGGACCCTGCCGGACTTCAGCTATTCCACATATTATCTCACACAGGTGGAAATGGTGGAGAAACGCTGCTGGTTGACGGATTCAAAGCCGCTCGTACTCTTCTTGAAGAACACCCCGAAGCCTACCAAGCTCTTAGTGATATCAAAATCAGCTCCCACTCTAGTGGGAATGAAGATGTCTGTATACAGCCAGCCACCTCATTCGCTGTATTAAACCACATGAGCGATTCTTCTGAGCTGTATCAGATTCGATGGAACAATGATGACCGTGCACCAGGGAAAGGAAACTCGCTGGAAACAATCCATCGTTGGTACCAAGCTGCGAAGAAATGGAATGCAATCCTCAAGCGGCCTGATATGGAGATATGGCTCAAACTTGAGCCAGGAACACCCCTCAGTGAGTATCTCCTGGGATAAAATTGAACTAAAAGTATAAGCTGACTGTATTCAATCATTCAGTATTCGATAACTGGAGAATTCTCCACGGGCGTTCTGCCTTCACCGGGAAGAGACGAATGTGTGGTGGTTATAGTGAGTTCTTCGGCAAATTCTCAGGGGTATCTCAGGCAGGAATGGATATATGCTAATCTCCTACATTTTGATAGTCAACCATGATGATTTTATATCACGATACCGTCTTCTTAATAACGGAAGAGACGAAGTTCTAGCCCAGATCTAAGGCTGCGAAAAGGCTTTCCTCCATAGAAGAAAAGAGAAGTGTGTCACAACGGGGGCCTGAATGAAGGTGTATGGAGCTTATAATTAGACCTCATGTATATTCAATAAGCTGTGACCTGAGCTTTCATTTCCTCCCTATTGTTTGTTGGTAGATAGAAGATGCTTTTTAACGAGACGTCTGGTTGACAAAGCAAAAATTCCACGTGACCCGCCAGGCAAACATCCAGCTTACGTGATACATCAGCTTGGATGAGCTGCTTTGGTTCTCTTGAGCTTCAACGAGTAACAGCAGCCTCAACAACCTACACTTGCGCTTCTCTCCCCCAAACTGCGTACCTGAATTTGTATCCTAAGGGACAAGACTGGAATATCCTTGATATCTCATTGAACTGAACGCACTCTCTTTCACCGCTTACCCCCACATTCAACCGCTATGTCTACCTTAGAGGATCTCGATGACCTTGAGCGCGAAGACAAGAACCAGAAGGATGACCGAAAAGATGGCGAGAAGAAGGGAGCGGACAAGGACGGAGATGCGGAGATGAAGGAGGCAGAAAAGAAAGAGGAAGAAGATGTCATAGATGAGGAAATTCTGCGATCAAGCACAAGAGATATTATCAACCGAAGGAAACTCATCGAAAACGACATGCGGATCATGAAGAGTGAATTCCAACGGTTGACACATGAACAGAACACGATGAAGGAGAAGATAAAGGAGAACTTGGACAAGATTGAGAATAACCGGTAGGTGATCATATTATTTTCGGCTGTTCTTGGGAGAGAGATTCAGACTAACTCTGCTTTGCGTAGACAACTTCCCTACCTAGTTGGCAATGTTGTAGAATTACTGGACCTTGACGTTGAGGAAGAGGCGGCCGAAGAGGGAGCCAATATTGACCTTGATGCTACCCGAGTTGGCAAGTCCGCGGTTATCAAAACATCCACCCGACAGACCATTTTCCTCCCTCTCATCGGTCTCGTTGACCACGAACAGTTAAAGCCTGGTGATTTGATCGGTGTAAACAAAGACTCTTACCTTGTCCTGGATACCCTTCCTGCAGAGTATGACAGCCGTGTGAAGGCGATGGAGGTAGATGAGAAGCCAACCGAACAATACTCCGACGTTGGCGGCCTGAACAAGCAGATTGAAGAGCTCCTCGAAGCTATAGTATGGCCCATGAAGGAAGCGGACAGATTCAAGAAGATTGGCATTAAGGCTCCCAAAGGTACACCATACCACACCATGGTTAATTCCTTGGATCAAATACAAGAAACTGAGTAGCCGCTAACATAATTTGTAGGTGCTCTCATGTACGGTCCACCCGGAACCGGTAAGACTCTCCTTGCCCGAGCATGCGCCGCTCAAACAGAGGCGACTTTCCTCAAGCTTGCCGGTCCCCAGCTAGTGCAAATGTTCATCGGTGACGGTGCCAAGCTGGTACGTGACTGTTTCGCCCTGGCAAAAGAAAAAGCCCCGGCCATCATTTTCATCGATGAGCTCGATGCCATCGGCACCAAGCGTTTCGACTCCGAGAAATCAGGAGACAGGGAAGTACAGCGAACTATGCTGGAACTTCTCAGCCAGCTTGATGGCTTCGCCTCCGATGACCGAGTCAAAGTTCTTGCGGCTACCAATCGTATCGATGTGCTCGACCCTGCGCTTCTACGATCCGGTCGTTTGGATCGAAAGATTGAATTCCCTCTACCAAATGAAGAGGCTCGTGCCCAGATTCTTAGAATTCATTCCCGTAAGATGACGGTCGACGATAAGGTTAACTGGCCGGAACTGGCCAGAAGTACTGATGAGTTCGGTGGTGCTCAACTCAAGGCTGTCTGCGTAGAGGCTGGTATGATTGCTCTCAGGAAGGGGGTCAATAAAGTGAGCCACGAACATTACGTTGATGCCATTTCGGAGGTAATGGCAAAGAAGAAGGATACCAATGTTGGCATATATGTTTAGACACAACAGGGCTGGCAAGCTTATGTTGGGAGGAAACAAACCGTCTCTTGCTGTTCTTTTCTCCCGCTTGAAATTATCAGCCTTTGTTCTAGATATACAATTTAACGTTTCCATCGCACTACATCCTATTGATCTGCAATAACCCCAATATCCAACACACTGGGAATATTTACCTAGGCGGATGGAAGCAAGTAAAATGATCATATGCATGTCAGGTGCATATTAAATAAATAAACACTAAAACTATATATACACCTCATTCATACACATATCCCCAATCCATCAAGCTTGGTAGTCCATATTAGATATACATTAACCTCCCGTTTTGGTAACAGCTGGGTAAATCCGGGGGCAAAAAGGTAAAAGAAGGTATGAAGGTAAACAAGGTGTTCGTAAGAATAAACAATAAATAGTAATAGAAAACAGGGTTTATAACCAATCCCAAAACTCCAACTGGCCAGAACCAAAATGGGAAAATAGATGTACAGCATTATGTTGTTGAACAAAAGGAGCAAAAATAGGAAAAGAAGTGAAAAATAAAAATAAAAATGAATAGATGAAAGAATCAACGGAAGATATCACTGACACTGAGTAACGCGGCCGAAGTATTGGATTTCTTGATACCTCCGATATTGCGTTCTCGTTCAGCGTGGCTCCACCACTCCTTGCCATATTTATGGCCTTGGTTCCATGATCCATTGCATGTATCCTTGGCCCAGAACGGTTGATCCCCATTGCCACCCGTAGTGGGCCACGCGGTACCTCTAGTGGGCGATGTTGGGGTTTTTGGTGGCATGGGAGGGTTGGAGCTGGTGGATTTGGAGTTGCTGTGATTAATTCGTGTATTTGAGCCGCCCCAGACAGAGAAACGGGAGGATGAGGAGGTGGTGGTAGTAGCAGTTGATGGAGAAGATGTGTCGTCGCTGAAACTAGAGTTTGTATTTGTTCTTTTCGAATTGTGTGATGCAACTGGTATGGGTGGGTGGTTGGGAGAGGGAGAGCAGCTGGTGAAGAGGGAGGTTTGGTTTGCGGCAAAGAGGTGTTTGTGGCTTATTATACCACCATCTGCATCTGAGTTTGGTATATCAGGCTGGAGAGTAAATCGTGGAGTCAGTGCAGTGGTGCTACTTTTATTCGATAAGCCCACCCTGCCCATGCAAGCGGGTATCAGGAACTCAAGGATCTTGAGAGCAGGCGTCTGTGCCTTGCCACCATTCAGAGCCAAAACTGCTTCAGCGCTCACGTAACCAGGTTGTATTACTACATTCGGAGCTAGGAAATCTTCTGAGTGGTCTGTGATGATGACTTTCACGCCTTCATCATTCTCCTTGGCAGCGATATCGATAAGTGCCTGGGAACGTATACGTGCTGAGGACAGGTTATTCCCTGCTGGCATTGCAAGGGGCCGTTTAGGAAGCGATCCGTGGGAACTCCGGGGAAGGTTATGGCGATCCGCAGGGACCATGATCAACCCATTTTTGGATGGACGACAGACGTTCTGGAGTGCTCCCAATGGATCTATATCAAGCGGCGCTCGAAGGCGCTCAAGAGAAGGGAACCCGACGTGCAAGATGCTCTGCGCCAGATGCGAGTTGGGGGTGTTGGCTGTGCTCAGGACCTTAGAGAATGGCACGGTATCGATCTGGTTTAGTGCATCGGCACCATTCGGACAGGCAACATCCCAGTGTAGATGTTTCAGGGTTGCCGAAGCAAGGAGCGGTTGAAACACCATTCCCCCTTTCGGCAAAGATGGGACAACGGAGGATTGAACTATGGTGAATCTTTCCAAACATCCAAGGGAAGCAAGGATTTTCGATAAGATCAGAAGGGAGGATATGTTTTGCTCTACCAGGGCCAGGGATTTTAGTCCTCGTGCCTCTGGTCTGCCCACATATCGCGCTAGTCCATTCTCTGTGACTCCTTGAAGTCCCTCCAGCCGAAGTGAGGTCAGGGCAGGTAGAAAGAGTAGCGTTCTATCGGTGAAATTGTCTGCTTCAAACCCCGAAACAGATAAATTCTGTAAGGCAGGTAGGAAGTTGAACATCCGTATAAACACGCCGTGTTCCAGTATACCCTTTGAGTCCATGGAATGCAACACCATTGACTCCAGTTTTGACCATGATGTGTGGTGGCTGAGAAATTGGTACACCTGGCCTTGGTCCAGTACTTCAGTGGCCTTATTCTGTGAACGTTCAGTCGCCTCTGCATTCGGGCCAATAATCCAGGCGTGTTCCTTGAGTTTTTTCCTTGTGGATAGCGCATGGGTAAGCCGGTCAAACTCATGGTTGTATGGTATCGATAGACCAAGGAGGCGTTCGAGATTAGGGCAGACCATGACAACAGAGGCAACCAGGTCACGGTATTCCTGGAGAATAACATGTTGTTTGCCCGTCATCAGCGGAGCATCCAGCTCTGGCACCCTGAGTTCAAAGACCATGTTGGCCAGGGCCTTTCTCTCTCTCAATGTTCGTCTGAGAAGTCTCAATCGACTGCCACGTTTCCATTTGTACTTCTTCAGTGGACCCGGGGAGTCGCTACCATGAAGATAGATTTTGTTATATCTATAGATATCCGTTATCTATCATTATCACTTGCAACAAGGGAAGTAGTCGTAGCGTGCGAGCTATATGAAAGGAAGAAGTGAGTGAAAAAGAAACAAAAGCTTACAGTCTACCTCTGACTGCCTTTTCCCATGCTCTATCAGTCAAGCTTAGTGAATACAGGTCTCGCATGTAGCAAGTCAAGCAACCCTCAGTACAGGAACTGATATGCAACGACCAGAGATGGGTTAGGATGCACTCATAGACCTCGTCTGGGAGTCGATTGGTAAAGACCGGCATTGGCTGCTGGTCTTGCGGCGAGATCCTGCCATGCTTGGTCGGCGGGTAGTATGAATATCTGACGGTGGCAGGACTGTAGAGGCTCGGGACGCTCGAATTGGCAGTATGATTCGAGTAGAGAAGGGGGAAAGTCGGGCTCCTGATCGGAGAACGAGGAGACTGAGGCAGCACGGCAGGATTATGCGGAGGGGTAAATTGTTGATATGAAGCTGTATTCGAAGACATTCGCTGTGATCCAGGAGTAGCTGTAGCGACGATACTCATTGTTGCAGTAAATAGCAGCGTAACATTCTTTTCTCCAGTGTAGTCGAAAGGGGAGGGAGAAAAGAACGGAGGAGGAAGACAAGAGAGGTACTTTGTATGGGTGTCACTGAGTGTAGGGCTCTTCCGCACTGCAAGTGCGGGTTGGCTATGGTTTGTTTTTGCACTGGCTTGCGCCTTCGAGGACGAAGTGTACAAAGTATGGGGGAAAGGCGTCTGTTTTGGGGAGGACGAAATGTGGTATATACTGAGGCTTGTTAGCCTTCCTACCACCCGCGCAAAACGCAGGACTTCCTCTCTCCTTCTCCTTCTCCCTCTCTCCTCTCCTCTCCTGATCTACATTCCCCGTACAAAGTCACTAGGGGACCTTAAAAGAGCAATACCCGAGCTGCTCGGACGAATAGCGCCGCGAGTTAGTGAGTTAGTGTGGTAAGACCTGCACCACCAATCCATGCGAACGAGATCTTGGCGATCAGCAGAGGCCCAGGGATGATTAGTCGTGTCCATGTATACTCCGTATGTACCTCGAAGAAATCGAAGTTGCCTTTCCTGGAAAGTTGGAAAGTATCTGATGCATCCATGCTTTTAAAGTACGGAGTAATAAAAGGCTCCCTTATTATTCCATGCGTCTGCTTGCTTGTGCTTGTTTCTGTTTCCTCATCGCGCAACCTTCGTAAGATATACTTTCAAAATAAACGAGAGACAAGCCAGGCTGGGCCGGCCCTGTGCTGTCCTGTGCTGTGCTGTGCTTCTGTGCTTTACGATGCAGCCTGCAATATGTGGTACGAGATGGCACAGCTTGCAAAGGGCGCCTCATCGGAGCCTTGACCGAAGTTGACACCTTCTGACGTCCATAGCGTTAGTCCGTCTGTCCTGTATCCGTCCATATAATTGTCGAGTTGCGAAAAAGGAGTCCAGGAACCACTCAAGGTGAAACACGACAGCGGAATGCAGCACGGCGATAGGCCCCCTTACAGCTGTCACCCAGGTGCCTCCTCTCCCCCCCTTGTTCGTCATCTCCACTTCGGCCCCAGCACTAGCATAACCCTCGTAAATATGCAGGCGCCGCTCGTGCGGCCGCTGCTGCACCTGCGTTGCGGTAACGAACTTACCAGTAAAGACGCCCGGTCCTAGTTTGTTTTTCGTGTTTCTTCATTTTCCTTTCCTTCGTCCCTTGCCTATATTCTTCTTTCGCTCTTGGAAGCTCTTGGAAGGTCTCGGTTGAATTTCGTGAAGACGAAGGAAAGAAGAAGGAAAAAGGAGGCGTCGCTTCTGGCGTCTCTGGTTGGCTGGATTGGGACGCGCTAGCGCAGGAACCGCGCGCTAGTGGTGACTAAGCAGCCCCTGAACAGAGACGTCAAAGCAAAGCAAAGCTACGAGGAGAGACGAAGAGATACACAGCCAGTCAGTTGAATCCGTTACATGTCGCAAAGTGACAGGAGGGTTTGTGAGGCGTATAAGAGGTGTATGCTTCTGTATGTGATAAAAATAGAGTTGGTGGATGCAAGCAAACTGCATGAAATATGTATGGAACGATAAGGGGTAAAATGGGAGAAATATATAAGCAGGAGGAGCACTAGGGAATCAATACTCCGTAAAATGGATCGTAAGTAATATCAGCCTCCACCATCCAGCGCCCAACCAACCAGCCAACCAACTGACCACCAAACTGACCGCCTTGGCTACATGCAGAGAGATAAAAGGATAAAAATGCCCGCTAGACGATTTATGCCGCGCTTTGTTTGTTCGTTCGCTTGTTGGAGATGTTCTTTTTTTTCCTTTTCTTTTTTTCTTTCCGTGGATGAGGAGAGATGTAAATAAGAAGTAAGTAGAAAAAGGAGGACGACGAGTTTGGATCTGGTATTTATGAAACTGGACTTGGAAGCAGTATGGCTTGGTAAATAAGAAATGTAAACTGACTCAGACAGACGAAACAGTACGGAGGACAAGTAAATAAATTGAAGGTAGTGGAAAAATGGCCTCCTTGCCCTTTTTTTCCTTTGCTTTTTAAATCTTTTTTTGGTGTTGAGTGGTTTTCTTTTTTTGTGGTTGGAATGCATGATTCCTTTTTGCCTTTTATGCGTGACCGGTAGACCGGGGCGGAGTAAAGCGATGTAGCGTGCATTGTGCTTGATAGATGGAAGGGAAGATGAAGGGGCAAGTAGGGGGAAAGGCTAGAACGCAGTCGAAAGGGAAAAAGGCCCACTAAAAGTAGAAGGGGAATAATCGTGGAAAAGGGAAGTAGAAAGGGGAAAAAGTTGAGAGGCAGATAGATTCCGCGTCGGATAGCCTGAGATTCCTGCCTTGAGGCGCGTAGATTGGGGAAAGGGGAAAGAGGTAGGAGAGACGATACAAAAAGGCACAAGCATAAATAGGTTGGTCAGTATGTGCAAGTGGCATCAAAGTCATATACTTCATGATCAGGGAAGGGAACAACAGCAAATATCAAAAAAAGGGAGGGGGCAAGGGGGGTTCATGAATGCTGTAAGGAAAAGGCCAGGCACAAACGCATCAAAGAAGCGCGAAGAAAGTAACATCTTCCAGCTATGTTTAGTTTGGTTCGTAGTTGTGTTATTCACCTACTCCCCACTGCGTCACATCTCAAAGTGATAGTCGTCATGGAAGATGCCTGCGTCAGCATCACCATTCGATGCTGCGTTTGTGCGTTCAACTCCGCTCATGCGATGGCTATGATCAGGACCAGCACCATGGCCTGTGCCAGCCCTGCCGCTACCACCACCAACTTTATGAGGCTGCGCCCATTGCTCAGGGAAATCTTCCTCCATGTAATCGTCTGCTGCATTACTAGAGTAATTCTCACCATGGCTCATATGATGCTCCATCGAACTCTCATTGACAAAAGTGAAACCTTTAAAGTTAGCTTGCATGCCAGGCGACAACGGGGTACCGGCGGGATTCAACCCATTTGCCAATGCAGCGGCTCTGGCGTTCAGTGAGGCAGATTGTTCCAGAGCAGTGGTAAACTCAGGGTCAAAGTACGAAGTATCCATGACGGACGTAAGTGTTGGTTTGAAGGGAGGGATGACACCCTTATTGGCTAGTACGACCCAGTCGATGTCATGGAAGAATGGATGTGCCATGAGCTCCTTAGCGTCATCCCGGTAGCCAAGCCGGTGTTCAGGGTTGCGGTTCAACAGGCCCTTGACGAAATTCCTACCTTCTGCGCTGAGGGCATCGCGCGGGAACCGAACCTTGCCGAACGCGATATTCTTATACATTTGCTGGGTATCCTCGGCATAGAATGGGCTCCAGCCGCAGCACATTTCAAATACAAGGACACCTAGGGACCAGAAGTCGACCATTTTAGTGTATCCGGTTTCGTTAAGTAAGACTTCCGGAGCGAGATATTCGGTTGTGCCGCAGAAGGTGTTGGTAGTGTCATCCTTGGTGAGATTGGCCTTGGATAAGCCAAAGTCGCATAGAGCTATATGCCCGTTGGCATCAAGAAGAATGTTCTCAGGCTTCAGATCGCGGTACACAATGTCATGGTCATGAAGATGCTGTAGGGCAAGGATCAATTCGGCAATGTAGAACTTCGCGCGAGCTTCGAGGAATCGGCCTTCCTTCTGGAGATGCCAGAACAGCTCGCCGCCTGACATGTAATCTGTGACCAGGTACAAATCCGTAGGGGTCTGGAAGGAAAACTTGAGGCCAACAATAAACGGGGAGTCCGTCATGGCGGTGCGGACAAGGATGTTTCTCTCTCCAAGAGTATGGGCGATCTCCTTTTTCTGGATAATGACCTTCTTCGACAATACCTTCATAGCGTAAATCCGCTGGGTGTCCTTCTTCCTCACCTGGTACACCTGACCAAAGGTACCCTTTCCGATAAGCTTGAGAATCTGGAAGTCGTTTGGACCGAATTGCTTCTTGTCCGTCTTTTGGAAACTCATTTGTAGGAATATCTCTCCTGACACCGGCCCCTGGCCATGAGCAAGTGGCTGTAGAGGGTACCATCCCGACAACGTGGTGCGGTCATCCTTTAGGTGGAGAGATAGCTTCAAATGTCCGAGAAAAGCCTCATGGTTCGAGCGGTCGTAGACAGACACGTCGAGCTCCGACTGATGGCCAAGCACGTCACTATACATCGATTAGTAAAGGAGGGATATATAGAAAAGAAGGAAAGGAATGCACGCGCAACGCACAAGACGGCATCGTGATTCCACTGTGGATCAGTCACTTCGGTAGGCCCGCTATTATGCCCTCCATCCATCATGCTATTATGGCTGCTCTGTCGACTCTTCATTGGTATAGCCATCGGTCGTCCCGAATCACTATTCGACCGCTGGATGGGCACCGATCCAAGCGCTTCAAGTCTGTTTCTAGAACCAGACCCATGGCCGGCCATAGTAGCGCTTGGGCCACTCTTCCCTTCTGCCTTTGCACCCTTGGAGATGTATTCATTCCACTCAAAAACACAAACGACATACGGGTCGACGCTGGGACGAAGGCCTCGTCCTTCAACTATTTTGACGGTTAGTTTTCCCTTTAAAGACGCGGTCACCGGCACGCCGGATTCCTCCGAGGCTCCGCTAGATCTGGAGGAAGCCGTGGGCTTGTTTGATTTGCTTTTCCGCGCATGCGACGAAGAGGCAGTCGAGTGTCTTCCGCCCTGGGAGCTGCTATCCGGGGTCTTGTTACCCTGGTGAGGGGGAGAGTGCTCTATTATCGATCTTGGAGGATCTCTCTTCTCCGCGGCATCGGTTTCATTGGACATTGCGCGAGGGGTGAGAGGAGGTGTGTTCTTTGTCCGCGGGCCCGCGGCCACGCTGTGTGTCAGCTTTTCCAGGTCTTCACAAGAGCTGGAGATTGAGTGGTGGTGATGAAGGTGATCATTGTGAGTTTGGGAAGAAGATTTGGAGGAAGATGAGAGGGAATTGGGCTTTGATATTGATTGTGAAGAGGGACGGGAGGGTTTGGAAAAGTGGGAAGCCATGACAGCATCTGGGGAAACACTGGAGACAGGAAAGGAGGTATGTCGTTTGGGCTTTTGCTTTTGTGAGGTTTTGGAGAAGATAAGGTTCTTCAGGGCACGGTAAACCGAGCTCACTCCTGTATCGACTTCTGGGGCACCATTCTGAGCCTCTTCGGTGTCCCTATTGGCGATAGAACAAAAGGAGGAGCGGGGAGGAGTCGGTAAAGGATTGACAGCAACAGCACCAGCATCAGTGCGGCCACCGCCACCGCTACTTGTATCCTTGGAAGAGGCGAGCAAGTAGTCCTTGTCTGATATAACCTCGAGACTCTGGGCGGTGGCAGGACGGGAAGGTGTGTTGACAAGTGCTGGGTTCTGACAACCGCGGTCCAACAGATTGGTCGATTCAGTGAGGGGAGGGGAGGTTGATGTTGAAGTAGGCGGTTTCAGAACATCTGGTTGTATTTCCTGCTGCTGTGTCTCTCCGGTCTGCTGGCAAGGATCCCCAACAGCAACCACACCATCATCACTACTATGTTTCCCTGGGGTATGATGGGTAGAAGAAGGAGAAGATATGGGATGAGGAGGAGGTGGTGGAGGAGGAGGAGGAGAAGGAGAGAAAGAGGTAGAAGGCCGTATACTGGTGGTGGCAGCGGTAGGGATTGAATTAGAATCGGAACCAGCACCAACCTGTGCAAAGAAACTAGGCATGATCCCGGGGACGCGCTTGTCGGAGGGATCTGGCTGCGGCGTTGCAATCCCGGTAGGCGTTGAACCCATCGACCCTATCTGGTCCTGGGAGTCGTCTCCATGCTTTTGGCTGTATATAGGACGAGGGTTAGCCATCTGAAGTCGCTGCAGTGCATGAATAGATAGCAACAGTGGATAAACAATGACTCGGAAGTCAGCGCTAAAAAAAAATAAACAAAAAAGGGACCAAGGCAAAGAAGTGAAAAGGATAGGCCGTCTTGAGTATCCTGATGCTGGCTTTGTGGGAGTCCGTGGTTTGATAGCGAGCGAGCTAGCCAGCGATCATGCTGCTGCCGTGGTCACCGTCGCTGTGGCTATCGCCGTGGCATGGGAAAGGAAAAGCTGGGGTGACAGCTTGGTGGCGTTTTTCTCTTCCCCCCAGGCGGAGGTGAAGCGGCCTCTGATCGTGTAGCTCTGGGACAAGGAGCTGAGAGCCGGTCGACAGGACAATTCTCTAGTTGTTCTTTGCCACCGTCGTCTCTTCTTCTACTCCGTTCTTCTTCTTCTGCTTTTTCTGCGTCATCGAATTCGTTGTTCGGATGACGCTGGTGGTGACCCGATAAGAGAGCCAGCCCTCTTGTCTCACGCGCGGCAAGAAAGGATAGCCAGGCCAGAACCAAGGGTACAGCAGGCGGCGGTCACCGTTACAGCCGTTGGACAAGAGGTACAAAAGGGAGGAAGGGGGTAGAAATGGATGTAGACATCATATATGTATAAATAGAGAGAGAGACTCACTTCTGAAGCATCGCTTGCCGCAACAGGTCTGCGTGGGCATGGGCATTCACTCCTCCAAACTCCGCCATGTCCTCTTCGACTGGGGTTACCTGGTGTCCATCCACGAGCACTCTCTCTGTGCTCTTCCCGCTGTTTCTCCTGGCTCTTCTTTATCTATTGAGCTTCTGTCTTCTGGTCTTCTTCTTGTTGCTGGCTGTATCTTTTGTGTCTATCTTTGGCTGATTATTCAGTCGACTTCACGCTGACGTCGTCCGGGGTGGGCGGCGCTGGTCCGGGGCTGGGAGGGGTGCTGGTGATTGGCAGCGAGGCCAGGCCAGCAGGCAAGCAGCAGCGCAGGATGCAAGCGGTGGCGAAGTGCAAATATGGGGCTGAACCTGTTCGACAGCAAAAGCAAGGCTCAGACCGCTAGACAAACAGGCAGACAAGGTGGGAGTCGAGCAGAAGAAGCTGAAGTAGTGGGAGGATGTAGGAGCAAAGAGAGGATGTAGAGAAGTAGAAGAAGGGGAAAATCTTTTGGTGGGTGAAAAAAAAGAGAAGAAAAAAAAAAGGTTTGGTAACTAAGGCGGAAGTCTCTTTTTTTTTATAGATGGGCAGGACAAGGACAAGTAAGGAGGACAAGAGGACAAGACGGAGAGACGAAGACGAGACGAACTTTCACTTCTCGGTGTATAGAGTGACAACCGTTCTTCTGGGTTCTTCTTCTCCGTCTCCTTCTTACTTTGATAGTGTTTCGGACCCAGAGCAGAGACGGAGCCAGCAGAGACAAGCGGCAAAAGAGGTCCGCCGCGGTGGAGGAGAGTTGATGGGCCTGATCCACAGATAGAGAAGAGGTGAAGACGAAGGTTGAAGTTGAGAAGAAGGTGAAGTTGAGGAGAGGGTGAAGTTGAAGGTGGTAGGAAGAAGTGAAGGAATTCTACGGCTTTCATCCTGTTTCGTTTAACTCCTACAGCTACGGCTAACGAGGACTTACTAGAAATGGTCAAAAGAGCCAGCCTCAAAACGAGACGAGCGTTGCACCAGACAGTCATACCTGCAGATAAGAATATATACATCCAGAAGAATATACATCAGAAAGAGCGGCAGAGAGGCAGATAAAGAAGTAACCAGAGGAGGAAGAGAAAGAAGTCGGATGATCTGATCGAGCTCGCCTCCGAACTGTGCAACCACCGGCAGCCGGGCACCAGACATCACCAGGCAGCCATGGGCCAGGAAGTTAGAAGAAGAGCCGCCAGAGAAGAACGAAGCAGAGAGAAGATGATGACGATGGCGATGGCAGCCTCAGCTCGTGAAACGGTCATCTTGACCCTTCTCTCCCGCCTCCTCTTCTTCTCCTCCTTCTCATCCCCGAGTCAACATAGGTGGTGTAACTGGTTAACTGCCGAAGTTCGGCCATCCCATGCACCAAACTTACTCCCGTTTTATCTTCCGGGCTTCTTCACATCTGCTGCCCTCGATCTCTGCCTGAAAGAAGCAAAACCCGAGGTTTGGCTGGTTACATCATGGTATACATGCATGCATGCATTCGGTACATGCAAATCACAGCGGGTACATGGGAAGTCACTTCGATACGGTAACTCCATGCATGCAAGTACGTACGTACATGGCTGAATCACTAAACTATCCAGGCGGCCGCGGGGTTTACGAGTCAAAAGTAGAAGCCGGAGAGAAAAAGAGACGAGGGAACGAGAAGGGAGAAAAAAAAGAAAAGAAGGAAGAAGATGCTCGAGGCAAGAAGGTGGATTGGCCGGCAGTCGAGGCGAGGACGAGAGAGACGAGATGCATCAAGGTCCAAAAGCCTTGTTTCCACCTGTTACATCGGCGGTACAAACACAAGGGTGCAAAATGACCAAAATAAAGGGAAGAAGAGTTCCTGGCCCTTTAAGCTTCCCTGTCGACAGGAGAAGAGTGCCTTGCCCTGGACGATGAGAGGTTCAGGAGAAAGTCGCACACCCGCTTGGCCGTTGGGTTTCCATGGAACGAAAGGTAGCCGAGGGATGGAGGATGTTTCCCATGGCTCTGCTGGAGTCTCTTTCATCGCCTCTTAACGACGTCTTTTCGCCTCTGTTACTAAGTACTCCGTAGATAGATGGACGTGCCGACTTGTTGGTTGCAGTCTCGGAGTTAACCTGTCTTTACTGTGTAGCCGCTATCTCTTTCCACCCATACCATTCTTCTGGTATCATTATCCTCTTCTTCTCTTCGTCTCTTCGTCTACTATACTTCTTCTCTATCTACTTCATTTCACCACAGTGATCCCGCTTACTAAGATATATGTCACACGTGACATCACGTGAACGTAAAGTTAAAGCTTGAAGATGTTGCAAAAAGATAAAGAAAAGCAGGAGAAGAGAAGAAATAAGAGAAGAGGACGCGACTCTTACCATTGAAAGACCTGTATTCTATCGCTCACTGGAGCCTCGATCTCCAAGAGCATGGCCCGAAAAGTCAGGGCGGCCGCAAGGGCGGCTGCCGCTTCTCTCAGTAAGTGGACGACGCGGTTAAGAATGCAGGTCGAGAGTGAGAGAAGAGAGAGCTAATATCGGAAAATAGAGTCCACGCCGCAGCAGCTAGAAGAGTCTGACACAGAGATGACAGGCATGGCCTCACCTCGAAGGGATGCTCGCGAAGACGAAGCTGAAGAGGATGCCGAGGCCGAGGGTGAAGGAGAGGAGGAGGCAGGAGAAGACGAAGACGTCGACGAGGACGAGAGAGACACGCCGAGGACGCCCATCGAGGCCGAAGAAGGGACGACACCTACTGCAGACAATGATGAATCCGAAGGAGGCGCACAGGATACACCGTCTCGACCGTCCAGCACGACGGGGCGGGGCGGCAGCAGCATGCTCGGCCGACCCCCACGACGACGGCGCATCGGCCGTCCTCCCAAGAACAAGCCAGCCGACTGGGACGCAGACGAAGGAAGCGGAACACCCACCGGAACAGGCAGGACAGGGACGCCAGATACACCCGGAGCACGGTCTGGGGCCAACACGCCCATCAAGCGTGGCCGGGGACGAGGCCGACTTACGGCGGCGGAGCAGGAGGCAGCGGTGGCGGCGCGGGAGGAGGAATTGGTCGTTGGGGCCCCAAGTCGCGCGGCAGCTCAGCGCACGTCTCGCACATGCCGCTGGACAAAGACGGGAACGTTCTCGAGGTTATTGACGACGAGGTAGCGTTGCCTGAGGATCCGGAGGGAGAGACCAAAGTCGACAAGCTAGGTAACCTGCTAGGCGGCCGGGAGTTCCGTGTGCGTACGTTCAAAGTGCTTGATAGAGGGGAGAGACAGTACATGCTTTCGACGGAGCCAGCACGCTGTATCGGCTTTCGAGACTCGTACCTTTTCTTCCAGAAGCACAGGCTACTCTACAAGATCATCATTGACGACGAAGCCAAGCGCGACCTTATCGAGCGAGAGATCATCCCGCACTCGTACAAGGGTCGAGCAATTGGTATCGTGACTGCGCGGTCTGTCTTTCGTGAGTTTGCGCGCGCATCATCATCGGGAAT